CTCCGGGACATGCAGGAGGTAAGCCGCAAAGGCCAACCACACCGCAGGCGAAGAGATGCGGTTAGCCGAAAACCTCCAGAAGACGGAACTGAAGAAACCACAGGGACACGGAACCGAACCCGGGGAGGAGCAGAACCCAAGCCCAAATCGTATGCAGAGGGGGAAAAGAAAACCTCACTCCTCGCAACAGTAAGCCCCGCTCAGAAGGACGGAATCCAGGCGGGGCGCAATGGAGCCCAAGGCCCCCAAGGCCACTCCTCCCCAACCCCAGGAGCCTCTACACCAGGCCCCTGGGCCGAGTCGACCTCCAAAGCCCCGGCCCCACAAGAAAAAGCCGGGGCAGCCGAGAGAGCTGGAAGAGAAGGGGTCCACTGGTCAGACCCCTGGAGCATCGGCCGGAGGAACAGACTCGAATGCCTCCGCAGCTACCTCAGACGGGGCGACCCCCAAAACTGCCCAAGACTCAGAACCTCTAACCCCGCCCCGACCTCGAAGCCTGCAGATGCGTAGGGGCCGGAAGCAGGAGGGGGAAAAAACAAGGGGGGCGTGGAAGAACCAAGGACGAAGCGACCAAAACCCCCAAGTCTGGGTCTCTACACAAGCGGGGCAGCATCGCGGCGTCCAAGGAAGCGACAACCCGAGCGTGTTGCAACAACCTTCCCTGCAACGCGCGAGCTGCCTGCACCCACACAAGGGAGGGAGCAAAGCATTGGCAAAAAATTATAGACCAGTTGCACTAACATCGCACATCATAAAAGTATTTGAGAGAGTGATTAGGAGTCAGGTCACCAATTTCATGGAGACCAATGACCTTCATAACCCAGGCCAACATGGATTCGAGCGGGAAGATCGTGCCTCTCACAGCTACTTGAGCACTACGACAAAGTCACTGAGGCATTAGAAGAGAAACAGAATGCTGATGTGATATACACGGACTTCGCAAAGGCCTTCGATAAATGTGACCATGGCGTGATAGCACACAAAATGAAGTCAATGGGAATAACCGGTAAAGTAGGACGCTGGATACTCAGTTTTCTGTCAAACAGGACTCAGCGAGTAACTGTCAACCATATAAAATCTAGTCCAAGTGCAGTGAAAAGCTCTGTACCTCAGGGTACAGTCCTTGCACCACTGCTTTTCCTTATTCTCATATCAGATATAGACAAAAATACAAGTCACAGCTTCGTATCATCCTTTGCAGATGACACAAAAATCAGTATGAAAATTACCTCGGCTGAGGACATTGAAAAACTTCAAGCTGATATTAATAAAGTTTTCGACTGGGCATCAGAAAATAACATGATGTTTAACAGTGATAAATTCCAGGTACTCAGGTACGGTAAAAATGGGGACCTTAAACATAATACAGAGTACAAAACACAATCAAATGTACCCATAGTAGGAAAACAGCATGTAAAGGATTTGGGAATAATAATGTCGGACGACCTAACGTTTAAGGAGCATAACCAAGCAAATATTGCGACAGCCAGAAAAATGATAGGATGGATTACGAGAACTTTCAAATCCAGGGATCCCATCACAATGGTTGTACTCTTCAAGGCACTTGTGCTGTCCCGTCTTGAGTACTGCTCAGTACTCACTTCCCCCTTCAAAGCAGGAGAGATTGCTGAAATAGAGGGAATACAGAGAACATATACGGCACGCATAGACGCAATAAAGCATCTAAATTATTGGGATCGTCTCAAAGCCCTCCAAATGTACTCACTAGAAAGAAGACGAGAGAGATATCAAATAATATACACCTGGAAGATACTGGAGGGCCAAGTACCAAATCTACACAGTAAAATAACAACGTACTGGAGTGAACGACATGGAAGAAAATGTAGAATAGAACCAATGAAGAGCAGAGGTGCCATAGGCACAATCAGAGAACACTGTATAAACATCAGAGGTCCGCGGTTGTTCAACGTCCTCCCAGCAAGCATAAGAAATATTGCTGGAACAACCGTGGACATTTTCAAGAGGAAACTAGATTTATTCCTCCAAGGAGTGCCGGACCAACCGGGCTGTGGTGGGTATGTGGGCCTGCGGGCCGCTCCAAGCAACAGCCTGGTGGACCAAACTCTCACAAGTCGAGCCTGGTCTCGGGCCGGGCTTGGGGAGTAGAAGAACTCCCAGAACCCCATCAACCAGGTATCAACCAGGTACCCACGGGAATTCATCAGCAGACTGGGTGAATTGAGTCACGAACAAGCAACAAAGCTCGCAGGACTCGGGGTCGAATGTGTCACCGACCCAACAGGCAGCATGATGGAGGCAAAAACAAGGAGAGTCACCCTGAGACAAAAGGACAGAGCAACCCTCAACTCGCACAAAGCGAGAGGGGGATGCAAGGGTCTCCACTATCGGACCCGGGGGGTTTTCCAGGGCCCCTAGACTGGGTCTGCTAAGGGTTATCCCAGGCAGGGCACTGCTAACCGGCGCCCCAAACTACCAAGCAAACTGCTAAAGCTGAACCCACGGGACGTGTCCACTCGTGAGGGCGAAGCAGGGGGTGCCACTACACAAACGACCCTAATATAAGGGGGTGGCACACAAGGCAAACCCCCCTACCAGGCAAAACAAAAATAAAAGAAAAACCACACAAGTGGACAACGTACCGAGAGGGAACAGAGCCGGCCACTGTCATAGGTGAAAACTAGCTACGCAGTACCCTGTGCCCCACCAGTGCTATAACTACCACTTATCCCAAGGTAAACAAGGGAGAAAAAACCCCAAACACTCGGGGCGGCCAAACGTCAAGCAGTGAAAAGCCAACAGAGGTAGACCCAAGGTGACTTGTGGAAGGCAACCCCAAGCCCCAAGGGCGGTACTTACAGGGCACTCAGGGAAGGTGACCCTAAGCACATGCAGCCCGAGTACCTGAGAATACTACTCCCAGCTCACACGACCAACGTAAGAGCAGCACTGAAAACAAGTCACAGCACTGAGACAAGACCGGAGCTGGAGCCACATGACCGTGCACTATCCCATCAGCCGAGGAACTGGAGCGGGGATCGCCGGCGTGGGAGTCTGGGGCTTCCCCTTCCCCCTCCCGGGGAGGGGGGAGTTGCGCAGACATGCGGCGCGGCTCATGTGACATCATGCTTGTTTGTTCGTTTTTCTCGGGGAGTTCTGTCCACTCATTTGTCGATTTTCGTTGGTAACCAGAATAGGTTTTTTTTTGTGGTGCCCACCTTTCTGGGTGCCTGTCCTGGTCGATGGCAGATATAGAATGCTCCAAATCACATGTGCATTTCTATGAGCCATTGCTCCCCGTGCCTCTGTGAGGGGCAGGTTCTGGCTCATGGTCCCCGGTAGGCCTAGAACTTCACCCACGTCGACTGATGCAAAATAGTTAGGGTATCCATATCAGCCATGGATAGCTCCGGGGAGCCGTAGGGGCTCACCTAGAAAATATTCACTTTCACCCATATCTTCCCTTGTAAATGGGAAAGTAGGTGCAACACCAACATCAGTATCATCAAATGTGGTTAGTGTGGTACAAAATTATCACAGTCCTCCTTCTCGAATTCACCCATGCTCCTTGTCCCTGCACCACCACCACTGAAATAGTAACTCCACCATGGAAGCAGCTAAAACACTGTTCATCTATGCTACTTGTATCAGCAGCAGCATGACAGAACCCAGAAAAATGATTCATCTATAGTGTTACTTCCTTCAAAAATTTGAGATGACACAGGTGGTGATACTAATGGTGAGGGCGATGACCTGGGAGGCCGCAGCATGCCAGGGGCACACCCAGTACTGGATACGCTGACTATATTGTCCTCAACAATGCTGTAACATTTGTGTCCGACACTTGTGTTAGGTCTTTATCGTGCCTTGCTTCACCACTATCACTATGCTTATCTTCTTCAAACCATAAGGACTGAATTTCATCATCAGAGAGCGATCTTTCGACACCGTGTCTGACAGGGGAGTGGGAGTTGGAGGTGCATGCGCCAGCCCAGGTGCATGCGCCAGTTATCTCAGAACTGAGCCTGGGTTCTGAGCCTCCGAACCTGCGGCCCTGGGGAATGCCGTGAATTTTTTTCAAGATGGCTGCCGATCACTGGAGGTCTCGAGCGTCCATCTCGTACCCAACCTACTGTGCGTTTTGAACCTTACGATTTTTTTTCACAATATTTATATATACAAGAGTTCTTACATTCTTGTAAAGCCACTAGCACACACAGCTTTTCAGGCAAGTCCTTAATCCTAATTTTTCCCTGGAATACTACCCGCTAAATCATTTAGCAGCCAGGTACCCATTCACTGCTGGGTGTACAGAGGCTACAGCTAAGGATTGGCACCTGGTCAATACTACCTGGCCAGAATATGAACCCAGGCCATAGCGCTCGCAAAGCGCCGGGCTAGTGTCTTACCACTGCGCCACGGAGACTAATGAACAATGGTAAATAAAAGAATGGTTTTCAAAAACCTAAACAAGGACTCTCATTAATATTACACAACTTTTAGCAAATTGAATTTAAGCACAAGTAAAAAGATGGAAAAAGTTCAAAGGTTAGCAACAAGGGTAGTGCCAGAACTAAGAGGACTAAGCAATGAAGACAAGCTAAGAGAGCTACAGTACTGTAAACCTAACCATTTGACAAGTGTGTAGTGCTAAAGGGGATATGATCACTACCGAGAAATAAGGGAGAATACTCAAGGGCAAATACGACAAGAAGATACCGCCGACAGAAACACAAATGAGCCAGAAGGAAGTAAGAATACACTAGCAAAGAGTGTAAGTGGTAAACCACCTGAATACTTTGAATGAAGTAATTGAAGCAGCAGCAATCCATAGCTTCAAGAGCAAATATGACAAACAGTATGTCAACAAATTTAAATGCACCAGTTACAAATAACCGGGCCAGTAGAGCAAGACCTTGCTTCTAATTGACACTCGTGCGAGTCCACACGCACAATGTATTCGTACAAACAATACCTGTGGCTATATGTTGATAAATACAAATAGTTAACAAATTACTAACTTTAACTGAAAGACTAATGGGGAAAGTGGTGTGTAGTGTGTCCAAATTTGAAGGGTCATAGTTGGGATCATGCTGGCAGTCCGGACGCAAAACATATCCACACCGCCCATTCTGCAGAAACAATCCTTCATTTAACTGCATCGCTTTGTCTGAAAAACAAAATAAAGATAATGAAATCTTCACTGCTATAATCCATATTCAAGAGTACACAACTCATCTCAAGTTGTCATTTATATTGAAGACTTGCCCTTGCATAGACTTCTCATCAGATATATTACACTGAACAGTATTGTAATATTTTCAGTTATACCATTTTTTTATATATGGTTAAATAATTAACCTGATATGACATTTCTATTTGACTTTGATTGTTGAAGTGATTGTTGTGGACCAGAGAGCCAGGTCATGAATATGACTTCTGAAGAAACTAGTTGAAGTACTCTCTTATCCACTAACTAGAATCTTCGATAAACTTTACAAGCCAGGGAGAATACCCAGACAACTAGAAAATAAAAAATACAGTCTTAATACTGAACAGGAAAAAAAACTTGAAAAAAAAAAATCAGCGTTGAATGTAATGAAACGCCATTTTCTGGGCGAGACCTGGAGGCTCCCTGGAGCTATCCAGGCTGATATGCCAATGTCAGACTTTGGCATCAGTCATGTGTATGGAGTTCTGTGGGCCTACCAGGGCTCATCCGAGCGAGTAAGGTTCTGACCACAAGCCAGAACCTGGCCCCCTCAGAGAGGCAAGGGGAGCAATGGCCTATAGAAACCCCAGTATGGTTGGAAGCCTTCTATGTCTGCCACTGACCGGGTCAGGCACCCAGAAAGGTAAGTGTCCCAAAACAAACCCCTATTCTGGTGAAAATTGCTACAAAAAAACGAACAAGTGGATAGAACTCCCCAAAAAGAGAAGAAGCAAACGAGCACGATGTCACGTGCCGCTGCTTCTGCGCAGCTCCCCCTCCCAGGAGGGGAAAGGGGGAGCCCCAGACCTCCACGCCGGCCATCCCCCTTCACCCCCTCAGTTCTGAGGCTGGATGTCAAAACACGCGAAAAACTGCCAACAGAGGGAAGGGAGGGATGTCAGGGAGCCTCCGGGTCTAACTCAGAAAATGATGTTTCATTACAATCAATGCTGGTTTTCTAGGTGGAGCCCCTTCGCCCCCCTGGAGCTAACTACCCACAGAGGAAAATAGAGGGACTTACCCGGAAGGCAGTCGCTGCTCACTCTTCAAATCGAAGTCGAGACAACTGGCTGCAATCACCGACCCAAAGCGACACACCTCGCAACTAGGCCCAAAGGATGATGCACCCCCGGCCTGACCAACCAAGCATCAACAACCCAAAGATCCGGAAAGCAGCTGTTCAACCGCCAAAAAAAGGAGACGGCTGCAGCAGACCGACCGTATGTCAGCCCTTGGACATGTCCCTGAACCGATCCCCAGAGGCCAAGGACGGCAACAAGAGCAGCGAACTTACAATCGTCATGGGGCACGGGGATAGACCGCAGGCTGGTGAGCCTCTGTCCAATGACCAGGACAGCTCAGGCGGTGCATGAGTAGGCTGGAGAAACAACGCATGAGACAGCTTGCAACATAGCGCAGAAGCAACATCAATACCGAAAGCAAGCTAAAGCAGCTTCGCCAGCGCAGCACGGTGTGAGGCGACAGTATTAGGCATAAGGTGACAGTCCACGAACACCAAGAGAGAAGGGACAACACCATTTGAACCGAAAGCGAAACACAACGATGAAGAGTCAAAAAGAATTGGAAGGATTGCCAGGAAACTTCATACTGCCACTGAGACGAAGCCCACAAGTAGGACACTAACAAACAGGCTACCTGATCACTATAGAGATGATGATAAACCCGAGTCAAAAACACCATACGCGAAGACTCGAGGAAAATATCGAACCAGCCACGTGATGCACCGGTCCATTCTGCTGGAAAAGGCGGGTCCACGGGAAAACCTCCAGGTTCGGACACCAAGCAAGCAGTGCCTGAAACCACGGCTGGGCCAGCCACCACGGGGCCAATAGAACTACTCTTCCCTGGTACATCTCCAAGAGTGTCAGGACTTGGAGCAACAGCTGACCTTGAGGGAAGAGGTACAGGAACCGTCACCTTGACCAGTCCTGCCGAAAGGCATTGACCCTGACAGCCTCGCAGTCAGGGAAGGGCACCACATACAGCGGAAGGTGGCGCGACCACGCCGATGCGAAGAGGTCCACCTCTTGGTGCCCGAACGTCTGGCAGAGCCAACGGAAGGAGTCAGCCTCGACTGTCCATTCCGTGGACAGGGGATATAAAACGAGACAGGCTGTCCACCAAGACGTTGAACACTCCCGAGTGAACTGCCAGGAGAGCCAAACCCTGAGAAGTCAGCAAATGAGTCACCCGAAGCGACCAGTGCCAAAGAGCTAAGGACCGCATCGAACCCCCTCGGTTCATTCAATGAACCACCAGGGAGCAGTCCAAATGGAGCTGGCTGGTCGACCCACGGGCGACCCGAACCCTCCAAAGAGCAAACCACGCGCCGTGAACTCCTGCACTGTGCTGTGCAGGAGTTCAACGAAAGTTCGGACCCCACCGTCCCTAGCCGGCCTGGTGAGCACTGGTCACAAAGCCCCAGCCTGGAGACGAAGCGTCCGTGAAAATGTCAAGCGAGGGCTCAGGCAGGCGCCAAGGCACTGAACCCCGAAAAACCCGAAGAGAAAGCCTGTGACACAGCAGCCGATGCAAAGCTGCCGGAGGGCCGAACCCAGCGACCGCAAAAGAGGCGGAAGGGACATCCCTGAAGGAACCAGAACAGTCAACGAAACCAAACCCGACTCGGCGGGAAGACCATCATCGCAAAGTTCAGGCTCCCGCACAGATCCTTGAGCAACCGCCAGGTGACCCGAGAGCCCCAGAAACAGGTGCTTGTGGGACCACAGCCGTAGGAGACACTCCGGAGGAAGAGACAAGGTAACGGTCCGAGAGTCCCATACAAGACCAGCCAGGGCCGAACCTGTGAGGGAACCAGATGGGATTTCCTCCAGTTCACCAAGAACCCGAACCCGGCGAGCTGGGAAAGAACCAAATCTCTGGCTATCAGACAAGAGAAGCCCAAACCAGCCAGTCGTCAAGGTAGGCCAACACCCAAACACCTAAAAGACGCAGACGAGCCACGACGACCCGGGTAAGGCGTGTGAACACGCGAGGTGCCAGGTTCAACCCGAATGGGAGACAACAAAAGCGGTAACCCTGTCGTCCCACAACAAAACCGAGCCAGTCCTTGAACCCCGGATGAATCGGGATGTTCCAATAGCGTCCTGCAAGTCTAGGGACACCATCCAAGAGCCCGGCACCAACAGGAGCCGAACCTGGGACAACGTAGTCATCCGAAAAGAGGGGCAATGAACCCAGAGGTTCAGATAGGACAAGTCCAGAATGAACCTCAGGTCCGCACAGTCCCGTTTTGGTACTGGGAACAGATGGGAAACCAATCTGAGGGACGTCGTCGTTTCAACCACGTCCAAGTGCACCCACTCCAAGACGACTCGACAGAGTGCAGGGAAAGAGGCCTGCCCCGCCAGCCCCGAACCCCCCAAAGAGGAAGGGGCCACCCATCGCCATCACAGGCCGAAGGAAACGACCTGAAACGGCCACAAATCGTTGGACCCGGCATGAGCAAACAGCACAAGCTCCCCCCCCCTTATCACTCCGTCTATGGGGCGAAAGGGCCGGCACCCCTTACAAGACTCCGAACCTTGCACAGAGCGAACAGTGGGTCCGAAGGCAGAGCCTCACCCGAAACTGGCACCAGCGGCCTACCTCGACGAGAGGAACCCTGAGCCCTGGCACGACCACTCCGGAAAGGCCCCCCCCCCCAGAGAACCAACAAGTCAGACATAGGATGACAACTAGCCCAAGCAGCCTGCAAATACTGCGCCAGGGCAGAATCTGCAAAAAGCAGAGGACAAATAGGAGAGGACATCCTAAAATCCAAAACCCAGGCTGATTCCAGAGAGGAGGCAAGCACCACCTTCCGACACGCAAGCCGGGAAGCATAAAACAGTGAAACAGCATCCCGCAGGATTGGTGCAAAGAGCTTCAACAAGGCAGCCGACGAGCGAGCCGCCGAGCCCAAGGCAGGCCCCAAGCATCTCCACATCCTCCTGAAGCCAGTCTGAAGACAGCTCCAGGAGGGAAAAAGAAGCGCAAGGTCGAAGCCAAGAGGCCACGGGCGCGCAAGTCCTCAGCAACCAGCGCAGCCGAAAGGGAGGGAACCTACACATGGAGCTGCATGACACCTACATCCCGGGAAAGGGCAGGGGCAAACAAGCACTCATTGAGGTGCTCAAGGTCGCCCCTCCTAGGAAAATCTGAACCACCGTCAAAGCCTCGTGCCACTAAAGCATGCGAAAACGACCTAAGGAATGCCAAGTCTCCAAAGCAAACACAGGACAGTCCGCCAGCCAGGACGACTCCAGAACCTCGTAACGGACCCAGAAAGGGAATGATGTTCTAAATCTGAAAGATGACGGATCCATAACAAGCATAATCCGGGTTGCCCAGAAGGTAAGCCGCAAGGACTGCCCGTACAGCAGGCGGTTGGATGTGGGAAGCCGAAAACCTCCAGAAAGACGGAACCGACGCATCATGGGGGACACTGAACTGAACCCGGGGAGGAGCAGACACCAAATCCAATTCGTGCGCGGAGGGGGAAAAAGAAAACCCCATTCCTTGTAGCAGTAACCCCTGCTCAGAGGACAGAAAAACCCAGGCGGGGTCCAACGGGGCCCAAGGCCCACAAGTCTGCCTCTTCCCCGCGCCAGGATCCTCCACTGAAGGACCCGAGGCCGAGTCATCTCCCAACGCATTGGCCTCAAAAGAAAAGGCCGGCGCAGCCGTGTAAGTCGGACGGAAGGGGGCCCACTGGTCAGACCCGGAGGCTTCAGCAGGGAGATCGGACATGAATGCCTCCATCGCCACACCGGAAGGAGCATCTCACGAGACTGCCGAGTCTCAAGAACATCAAAACCCTGCCCCAACTTCGAAACCTTCAGATGTTTTGGGGCTGGAAGCAGGGGGGAGGGGGCCAGAACGAACTACAGCAGGGAAAGGACGAGGGGGTGCGGACTGAACCAAGGCCAAAGCCACCATCACCACCAAGTCCGGGTCATTATAAGCAAAACAGAGCAGCCTCGGGGCATTCGGGTTAGCAACCAAACTAGCGGGTAACAACAACCTAAAGCGCACATGCAACGCCTGCGCCGCTGTACCCGCAGAAGATTATCATTGGACTGGGTAAACCGAGTCACCAGCAAACAACAAAACTTGCAGGACTCCGGGTCGAAAGTGTCATCGACCCAACAGGCAGCATGACGGAGGCAAAAACAGTGAGAGTCACTCTGAGACAAGGGGACCGAGCAACTCTCGAACTCGCACAAAGCGAGGGGGGACGCCAGGGTCACATCCATTGGATCCGCGCGCCCCCTTGGGGTTTCCCAGGGCCCTGAGATGGAACTCACGCTCAGAGAATCCCAGGCAAGGTACTGCTAACCGGCGCCCAAAACTATCGATCAACTCTCTAAAGCTGAACCTCAGAGACGTGTAATCTCACGGAGACCTAGCAGGGGATACCACCAGAAGAGAACCAAATTCAAGGCAGGTACAAAGTGGCAACAAGAAAGGCAGAATCCCCCCCAACAGGCAAAAATAAAAACCCGCAAGAGAACAACGTACCCAAAAGGAACAGAGCCGGCCACTATGAATGGTGTAAACAAGCTGTGCAGCATCCTGCGCCCTGTACCAGTGCAAACTGCCTCTTACCCTAAGGTAAACAAAGAAGACAAAACCGCCAAGCACCCAAAGGGCGGCCGAAAAACCGAGCAGTAAATCGGCCCAGCAGAGGCAGGACCCAAGGAACTTGTGGAAGGTACTGCCCTTGGGGCCCCAAGGGCAGTACTTACCGGGCACTTAGGGATGATAGCTCTAGGCGCATGCAGCCCGAGTACTGTAGAATAATTCCTGGCTCTCGCACCTCTGGAGGACAGTCACCACACGCAAAGCACAGTGCTGAAAATCACTGGAGCCAGAGCACATGACTTCAGCCTCTAGCATCATCCTTAGAACTGAAGGGTGGATGACTGGCAATGGGGTCTGGGGCTCCCCCATCCCCCTCCTGGGGAGGGGGAGATGCACAGACAGCGGCGCGGCGACGTGTGACATCATGCTCGTTTCTTTTTCGGGAGTTCTATCAAATTGTTCGGCTTTTTGAGCAATTTTCACCAAAATAGGGGTTTGTTTTGAGACGCTTACCTTTCTGGGTGCCTGACCCGGTCGATGGCAGATATAGAATGCTTTCAACCGCATGCGGGTTTCTATAGGCTATTGCTCCCCATGCCTCTCTGAGGGGGCCAGGTTCTGGCTCGTGGTCCCCAGTGGGCCCACAGAACTCCATTCACATGACTGATGCCAAAGTCTGACATTAGCATATCAGCCTGGATAGCTCCAGGGAACCGAAGGGGCTCCCCCCCATAAAAATGGTGTGGTAGGTAATAAAAGCAAGGTTGGGGGACATCAAGAAATAGACTACATAGTGCAGTGTACCCCGTACCTCATGGTGTAGTTCCACACCTTCAGAAAGGCTGCTTATACAAGTCAGGAACAGTAAAGATCTGATAACAAAACCTTCCCTCCATTCCAACATAACCTACCTCACTATAGTCTTTCAGTTATCCCAACCTGATTATCTTTGCTGGAGTAACTTCAATGGTATAGGATTGGGTAAGCAAGTACCCAACACAGGAGGTAACAGTGGATCATAGTCAGAAGAAATGGAATTAAGAAAATGGCATGTGGGGGGGCCCCCCCTCAAAGCTCAGTCCCTAGAACTCTGCTGTTCCTGGCATATGTAAATGACCAAACTGAACAGGTGAATTCCTACTTCATACATGTCAATATCCACAGATGAAGTAATGCTAATGATGAAGGTAAAGAATTAGGGGGCTGTAGGACCTAAATGCACTACAGCAGGAACGGACAAATGAATGTTTGAGTTCAATCCCATCAAGTGCACGTTACTGAAGAAGGGAAGAAGAAAAATATGACTGGAAAGGCACCACAGCATAAGGAAGCAGCTACAGGTATTAGAAAAGAAATCTTTGGTAGTGGACATAACACTAGCACTAACACCAGAGGTGCACATTAACAGGATAATATCAGCAGCATACTGTATATGAAACTGGCAAACACATGGATAGCTGTTAAAACAAGCAGAACTCTTCCTAAACAATATATGCAGTCTATGTTACACCAGTTCTAAAAGATGCAGCAACAGCATGGAATCCTCACCGAGTGAAGTATAAGATGACAGAAAAATTGAGAGGTTTGCAACCTTAGAAGAGATAAAGACAAGAGCAGATATAATCACAACTTTCAAAATAATAAGTCTCATATGTAGTGTGGGTTATAAAAGGTTGGAATAAACTGTGAAATTTGAGGATACTGCCTCCATTCACAGCTTCAAGAGGAGGATGAAAGTATAAAATGTCAAAAGACATAAAAGAATTAAGTATCGGTTACAAAGAGCCAAGTCAATTACATGTGTATTTGAACAAAAAAAATTTCCAACAAAAATTTAAGCTGTTAAATCCTCAGGAAGTCAAGAAACTGGTAGGTAACATTCAAAAGTGCACATGACATTATCCGACAGTGTTGAACACGCAACCTTACCACCTGTCTGGTAGTTAAGAGAGACCATCTGACAGCCGTGGTTCCACATAGGCACAGGATTATAGTTGGAAGAGTCGACACGTGTTGATCGTGGGTAAACTCTACTGAATCCAATCTGAAAATAGGTAAGAAGGGCTAAATACCATATAAGCAATGGTCTTCTTATGATAACTATCTACAGATGATTATGAGTGCATAGGGATAATCTATGATGATCACTATTTAACCCTTTCCATGTTAACACTTTGAGCTGCCCGGCACAAGCCCACACCAAGGTGGGACTGGAGTTTCCCGTGAGCGCACACCCCACACTAAAATGTGTATTCTCTTTTCAGTTTCCTCATGTCAATTTTTGTTTTTACTTTGTTCATTTTGGTATCAAATTGTTCACAACAGAATTCTCTAAAGGAATATATGCATACAAGGTCAAAAGGCCCGGCATGCCACTCACAGCAAACCCGAAAATTGGCCGAACATTACCCATGAGCATTCAACCACACTAAAATGTGTAAACTCTTTTCAGTGTCTCGTGTCAATTTTCGTGTTACATCGTTCATTTTGGTATCAAATTGTTCGCAATAGAATTTTCTAAGGGGACATATGTACATAAGGTCAAAAACCCAGCGCACCACCTGCAGCAAACCCGAAAATTGGCCGAGCTTTAGCCGTGAGTGAGCCCTCATCCACATACCCACAACACACATTAAAATGTGTATACTCTTTTCAGTTTTCTCACATCAATTTTCATAATACATTTTTTATTTTGGCATCAAATAGTTCGCGATAGAATTCACTAAAGGGATATATGTAAATAAGGTAAAACAAACAGTTGCGCTACCCACAGCAAACCAGAAAATCCCCCGAGTGTTACCCGTGAGCGAGCACCCATCTAAACACCCGCAAACAAATGTGTATACTCTTTTCAGTTTTATCACCTCAGTTTCTGCGTTATGTCGTTCATTTTAGTATCAAATTGTTCGCAATAGAAAGCTCTGAAGGGATATGTACATATAAGGCCAAATGGAAGAACATTACTAATACCATAAGATAAAAATATGTGAAAAAGCAGCTTTTTGTCATTATTTTACATTTGTTATTCATTATCAACATTATTTATGACACAATATCATTCATTTTTGTGTTGCTTCCTTCACATAAACATTTGTACCACAATATCATTATATAAATAAATGAAAAAAAACCAGTGTTGAATGTAGAGAAAAGCCAATTTTTTGGGCGAGTCCCAGAGGCTCCCCGGAGCTTTCCAGGCTGATATGTATATCGTTAGACTTTGGCATCTATCAGTGTGAACGGAATTCTAGACCTACCGGGGGCCACGGCCAAAACCTGGCCCCCTCAGAGAGGAACGAGGAGCAATGGCCTATAGAAATGCACATGTGATTTGGAGCATTCTATATTTGCCATCGACCAGGACAGGCAACCAGAAAGGTAAGTGCCGCAAAACAAACCCATATTTTGGCTAAAACAACTAAAATAGACCAACTGATGAACAGAATTCCCCAAATGAAAACGAGCAAACGAGCATGACGTTATACAAGCCACACAGTATATCTGCACAGCTCCCTCCTCCCAGGCAGGGGGAAGGGGGAGCCCCAGACCCCCCACACCAGTGATCCACCCACCAGTTCTGAGGCTGGATGTCAAAAACGCCTAAAAAAAACGCCGACCAGAGGGAGGGAAGGTTGCCGGGAAGTCTCCGGGACTCACCCAGAAAATGGTGTTTCATTACATTCAACGCTGGTTTTCTGGGGGAGCCCCTTCGGCTCCCCAGAGCTACTTCACCGAAAACGAAAACTTGAGGGACTTACCAGGGAGGCGGTCAGTGCTCGCACCTCAACTTGAAATCGAGACAACAGGCTGCAACAGCCGACCCAAAGCGACACAGGCCTGACTACTGTTCCTACCAGGAACAGTAACGAGGTAGGTGCAGCCAGGACCCTGTTCAACCACCAAAAACCCAGTGTCCAGGAGATATCACCAAGGTGGCAGCAAGCGCAGCAAACCCACAAACGTGAGAGACCCGAACCCGCGAACAGGGAAGAAGGGAGACTGGATCAACCCAAAGCGTGTCCCTGGCCACAGAGGTAGTGGCGTGCAAATAACGGCGGAGAGCCACAATCGAACATAGCACATGATGCATGGTTGGTCAGGCCGGGGGTGCATCAACAACCCAAGGGTTACTCCGGAAAGCAGCAGCCTCATTCTTCGCCAGAAAAGGAGACGACTGCAAACGAACAAACTTATCACCATAACCAAAAGAGCAGAAACCCCTGCATCGGAGGAGAGCATGAAGCTCCCCAACTCGACCCTCAGAGGCCAATGCCCACAAGAAAAGAGGTTTGGAAAAACAATCCTGAATCGAAGGGGCTACAACAAACCGAGGCAGAGACAGATATGAGAGCACTGCTCAAAGACTAGGATGGCTCAGGCAGCACATGAGCAGGTTGGAGGTGAAACAATGCTCGAGACAGCTTGCAAAACGGTACCGAAGTAATATCAATACTGAAAGCAAGTTGCAACGGCTCCATCAACGCTGCACGATACAAGGTGACAGTATTCGGCATAAGATGACAGTCCTGAAACAGCCAGGAGTGAAAGGACAAAACAACCCTAACAGAAAGCGAAGTACAGCGACGAAGAGACAAAGAAATGGAAGGACCACCAGGAAACTTCATACTGCCACCGAGACGAAGCTCGCAGGTGGGACACCATCAAAGAAGCCACCTGATCACCATACAGATGGTGATCGACTCAAGTCAAAAAGACCAAACGCGAAGACTCGAGGAGAAGTGAGAACCAGTCCCGTAATGGACCGGACCGATCTGTTGAAAGAGGCGGAATGGCGGAAAAACCTCCGAGTTCGGACACCTAGCAAGCAGTACCTGAAACCAAGGCTGGGCCGGTCACCATTGGGCCAAGAGGACTACTCTCTCTTGGTAAGTTTCCAAGCGAGCTAGGACCTGGAACAATTACTGAACCGGGAAAAAAGGTACAGGAATCCCCCACCTCGACCAGTCCTGCCGAAAAGGATTGATTCCGACGACCTCGCGGTCGGGAAAGAACACTACATATACAGGAAGACGCCTCGACCATGCCGATGCGAAGAGGTCCACCTCCAGGAGCCCGGACGTCCCTGCAGAGCCAACTGAATGAGTCAGCGTCAACCGTCCATTACGAGGACAGGGAAATGAACCGAAACAGGCCGTCTGCCAGGACGTCAAAAACCCTCCAAACTTGAATGGCCAGGAGAGCCAAACCCCGAGAACTCAACAGACGAGTCACCCGAAGCAACCAGCCTCAAAGAGACAAGGACCGCATCGAACCCCCTCGGATCAGGCAACGAACCACTGGGAAACAGTCCAAATGGAGCCCGATCGTCAATCCGTGAACGACCCGAACCCTCCGAAGCGACATCCACACCGCCGCGAACTCTGCTGTGGGCCCAACGGAAAGACGGACCTCACCGCCCCTGGCTGGCCTGATGAACACTAGTCACAAAGCCCCAACCAAGAGACGATGCGTCCGTGAACACATCAAGCGAGGGCTCAGGTAGGCGCCAAGGCACTGAACCCCAAAAAACCCGAAGAGGAAGCCGGCAACGCAGCAGCCAATGCAAGGCCCCCGGAGGCCGAACCCGGTGGTCGAGAGAGAGGCAGAAGGAATGTCCCCAAAGGAACCAGAATAGCCGACGAAGCCAAACAAGATCCTGCGGGTAGACCATCACAGCAAAGTTCAGGCTTCCGCACAAATTCTCAAGCAACTGCCGAGTGACCTGGGAGCTCCCCAGAAAAGAGCAAAGGTGGGAGTGCAGCCGAAGCAGAGACTCCGGAGGGAGAGACAAGGAAATGGTCCTAGAGCCTAACATGAGACCCAGCCAAGTCCGAACCTGAGAGGGGAACCAGATGGGACTTCCACCAGTTCACCATTAACCCGAACCCGGCAAGCTGGGAAAGAACCAAATCCCTGGCAAGCAGACATGCGGACTGGCTGGTAGCCCAGACAAGCCAGTCGTTGAGGTAGGCCAGCACTTGAATACCTATGTCAAGAGACAGGGGGCAACAAACCAAATGGCAAACCACCAGGCAGTAAAACTAAAAAGAAAAACCCTGCAAGAGGACAACGTTCCCAGGAGGAACAGAGCCGGTTGCTATAATAGGTGATAACTAGCTGTGCAGTTCCCCGTGCCCCTACCCGTGCAAACTACTCCTTACCCTAAGGAAAACAAGGGAGGACGAAACCCCCAGCACACTCAGGGCAGTCGATTACCAAGCAGCAAAAGACCAACAGAGGTAGACCCCAAGGTGACTTATGAAAGATAACCCCAAGCCCCAAGGGCAATAATTGCAGGGCACTTATGGAAGGGAACCCCTAAGCGCATGCACCCCGAGTTACAGAGAAGATTACTCCCAGCTCACGCACCACCCTGAAGACAGCACTAAACACAAGCACAGACCTGAGACAAGAAACAGGAGCTAGCGTCACACGACCAAGCCTCAATCACGTCAGCCGAGAACTGGAGGTGTGGGTCACTGGTGTAATTACCTAAGTGTAATTACCTAAATTACCTAATTACCTAAAGTAATTACCTAAATTGTAATTACGTCAGCCGAGAACTGGAGGTGTGGGTCACTTGTGTGAGGGGGATCTGGGGCTCGCCTTGGGAGGAGATGCACAAACGGAGGCACGGCAACGTGGTGACGTCATGTTTGCTTTGTTTGGGGAGTTCTGTCCACTCGTTTGACTTTTAGCGGTAGTTTCAACCAGAATAGGGGTTTGTCTTGGGATGCTTACATTTCTGGGTGCCTGATCCAGTCGATGGCAGACATACACTGCTCCAAACCACGTGTGCATTACTATAAGCCATTGCTCCTCATGCCTCTCTGCCGGGGGGGGGGGGGGGGGGGGGGGGGGGGGGGGGAGGGGGGGGAGAGGGGGGAGAGGGGGGAGAGGGGGGAGAGGGGGGAGAGGGGGGGGAGAGGGGGGGAGAGGGGGGGGGAGAGGGGGGGGAGAGGGGGGGGTGAGAGGGGGGGGAGAGGGGGGGGGAGAGGGGGGGGGGGGGGGGAGAGGGAGGGAGAGGAGGGGGAGAGGGGGGGGGAGAGGGGGGGGGGAGAGAGGGGGGGGGGAAGGTTCTGGCTCGTGGTCCCCGGTAGTCTTAAGAACTCCATTCACATTGACTGATGCCAAAGTCTAATACAATGGGGCCTCGACTTCCGATGCTAATCCGTTCCCAGAGACGGATCGGAAGTCGAGGCGAATTTTCCCATAAGAAATAAAGAGATTTGAATTAATCCGTTCCCCACCCTCCAAAATATTAGCATAAAAATACATTTTATACTGAATACAATGTTTTTTTCTAACTACAATACAGTACCAAAGTTACTCTTACCTTTATGGAGGGCTCTTGATGGCGTATGGAAGATGGTGATGGGGGAGGAGGAGAGGTGTTACTGTTTGGAAGGGGAGTCCCCTTCCATTATCACATCAGGCAGTAAGGTTTTCTCTGGGGTACTCTCTCTCTCTCTCCTACGTTTTGCCTGAATACCACTAGGACCTGGTTGTGGTTCAGTGCTTGTTTGTCTCACTACAAATTTGTCAAGAGACATTTGTTTTTCCTTTCTTTTTAACATTAGTCTGTAATGATGCATCACTTTAGCACCCATAATGTCCTTTTTCTTAGCTAGTATGGTGGATATTGTTGACTGAGATTTGTTGTACTGCCTAGCCAGTTCACCTACCTGCACACCATCTTCATATTTACGAATGATCTCTTGTTTCTGTTCTATGGTCATTCTTACATGGGATCTTGTTACGAACCAAAATTCCACGCCCGAGAACAAAGCCATAAAGTCCATGCCATCTGTGAGTCCGCTCCCGAAAACCCCACAACATGGACAACGCCATCTAGTGGTGACAAGATATGCCGGCAATAAGTGCTGGATGCCTGTCCTAGTCAGCTCGTGACGTAGCCGCTGCTGACCTCTGGTGAGGTGGCGCTTAGACAGTGAACGCCATCTATGGAGCAAATAGGTGGACGTTTGTGTCTAAGCTAGTAAGTGAAGTTTCCTAGTGGCCCCAGGTAGTGTCCCCAGTACTGATGACGTGTCTACTTTCAGAGTCAACCTAGGACGGTTGTGAGGTACGTGGAATCAGTCTACCCAAGGCAGCCAAGGTCTCTTCACCAGTCTGCTTTGTAGAAGCTGTGAGCCACCCCCGGACGAACTCTGCTGAGTGTGTGATTGCCTGCCTGAGGAGTGGCAGTAACGGGATTCGCCGTATCCGGGGCTGGCTAGTGGAAGAGACCACCCACTGAGGTGACGACCAAGGAGGGTGACCAGCGAGTCATACGAGGCTCCTGCCTAGGCTTCGCAACCCTAGTATTAGTTGTGGAGTGGCCCGACAGCGAAGCTGACTAGTACCTGCCAGCTACAGGCTGGACTGTGGCCATCACGACCAGGCACCCAGTGGGACTGTGATTTGGCTGGTCTGTGGCCAGGGTGGATTCATCGTGGGTTCTGGGCCACGGAGGAGGAGACCAGAAAAGGCTACCCAGAGTGAGCATCGCCGAGTGTCTAGTGTCTTCGGAGGAAGACGAAGCTGTATATAATTGTGTAGTAATAATTCCCGTGTGTGACTTTTTATACATGGTGGTGGGAATATAAAAAAGAATATATACATATATTAGAATACTTGATTATTTGTGTACCTCCCCCGTTGTTTTAATTTGCGTTACGGAACACACCCCTTGAAAGCCTCTAACTTGGGGCCGGATACCCAAACTCTAATACCATCAGAGAAGAACCCAGTTGCGTCCCAGTAGGGCCGTAACAGATCTCATATGTTGAGCCTTACCACTGACTTTCCTGGGACTCATGGCGTATTATATAATAATTACTTTAATGTTCAAATGCAAAAAATCACCACAAAAGCGGAATTTCTTATAGGCGCGATCGTCACCAAGCGGGTAGAGGTGACTGAGACTGTAGTAAACTGAGGCCGGTCGGACCGCGTGACCGGGAACCACGCGCTCTGCCGACCCGAACGTGTACCAACAAATATCGGATGTCGACGACACCACTGGATGTCGAGTCGCATTTTTCGATGAAATTTATATCGTAACTCAAAATTATCGTAAGTAGGGGCAATCGTATGTCGAGGTGCCACTGTAGTTCCATATCAGCCTGGATAAGCTCCAGGGAGCAGAAGTGGCTCCCTCCCATAAAAAATGGAATTTTAACAAATATTTTAATTTTTGACGCAAAATTTGTCCCTAACGGAATATCCTTTGGCAACAGCCAAAGGTGTTAACCAACACCGAGTTTATTCTGACATTAGTGAACTACATTGCTCCAAGATCATAAATACACTCCTTCAGGCAGTGAAGCACCTTGCCTAACATAAGGCCAGGTTCAGCTGAGGGGTACCTAATATAAAACAAGCACTTCCTTCTAACACAAGAGCTTTCATAACCTTTTTGTTATAATTCACAAGATGACACTACACAAAAGTCTGTGGTTGACTTCATTAATTAATAAATGGGTGCCCGACTTTGTTACTGTAGGACAATTTTTAAATCACTTTGTTAGATTGATGGCATGTGCTGTATGACTGCAGGAAAGCCATTTGAGACACACAACAGCAATACTGCTTTTATACCAGTCTTCAGACCTGCAGCTCCATATGAGTAAGCATGAAGAATGACAAGAAACTTCTTCTCCATGGAAACACAAATGGTATTTCTTCTTGCTTAAGCTGAACAAATAATGTGTAATCCAGCTAAATTCCTGTTAAATCCTGTAGAGCATTAAATCCCCACCTCATAAATTTGACAAGTGAATAATATGCAGTGTCATGTTATTAGTAACTTTGTTATTTACATTTTCTCTGTGGATCTGTATGTTATGTATGATTAATCTGTATGTTCTTTTCTATACAAAATGGAACAGAGTGGATTAAGTGTAGTTCAGCACTTTATCTCCCTTGTGTGAAATGTTGCAAGAGACAGTCAACTCATATGGACAAACCCCACACTGCTACAATTTTGTCATTAATCAAAACCGAATACTTACATCAACTTATCAGCTTAGGTATTAAAATAAATCTGGATAAATATCTCGGCCCCTTCTTACAATATTTTTCAAATCGTGGAAACTTAAGAATTAAATCATTAATTAATTTATTATCAGATAAAAGCAACTATGAGCCTACCTTGTGAAACTTTAGCAAACCACAAGGGTTCCTTTGTATGTGACTTTCCATTTTGTGCTCAGGAAAGGAGGAGATCTCATTGTGACAACCTCCAAGGGTGAAGCACTTCTCGGCATCGAAAGGCACACATCGAAAGTAAACTACTAAATCACTGAGTTCTTTCTTGATACGAAGTTCCGTCTCTCTCTGTTGTCTAGTTTGTACCTACAAGATAATAATACACAAATTCCATAAATATGATTTTCTAAAATGCCTCAACACTCAAGAGTAATTATAAACTTCACTACATTGTCATGAACACACCCAGAAATGTTATGAACATGTCTAACTTGTGCCAAACATTAGAGCATGTTGGTGCATCAGTTATGGCCAGCTAAGGGTGCCATATTCCTGCGTCATCAGTACCCAACCCCTCCACCTCCTCTCTCTCAACTCTTCTAGTGTCCCCTCATTTTCATTCTATCATTCTCTCTCTCATTCTCACTCTCTCTCTCTCTCTCATTCTCACTCTCTCTCTCTCTCTCTCATTCTCACTCTCTCTCTCTCTCATTCTCACTCTCTCTCTCTCATTCTCACTCTCTCTCTCTCTCTCATTCTCTCTCTCTCTCTCTCTCTCTCTCTCTCTCTCTCTCTCTCTCTCTCATTCTCATTCTCTCTCTCTCATTCTCATTCTCTCTCTCTCATTCTCATTCTCTCTCTCTCATTCTCATTCTCTCTCTCTCATTCTCTCTCTCATTCTCTCTCTCTCTCTCTCTCTCTCTCTCTCTCTCTCTCTCTCTCTCTCTCTCTCTCTCTCTCTCTCTCTCTCTCTCTCTCTCTCTCTCTCTCTCTCAATCTCTCAATCTCTCTCTCTCAATCTCTCTCTCTCTCTCTCTCTCTCTCTCTCATTCTCATTCTCTCTCTCTCATTCTCATTCTCTCTCTCTCATTCTCATTCTCTCTCTCTCATTCTCATTCTCTCTCTCTCATTCTCATTCTCTCTCTCTCAATCTCTCAATCTCTCTCTCTCAATCTCTCTCTCTCAATCTCTCTCTCTCTCTCTCTCAATCTCTCTCTCTCTCTCTCTCAATCTCTCTCTCTCTCAATCTCTCTCTCTCAATCTCTCTCTCTCTCAATCTCTCTCTCTCTCAATCTCTCTCTCTCTCAATCTCTCTCTCTCTCAATCTCTCTCTCTCTCAATCTCTCTCTCTCTCAATCTCTCTCTCTCTCAATCTCTCTCTCTCTCAATCTCTCTCTCTCTCAATCTCTCTCTCTCTCAATCTCTCTCTCTCTCAATCTCTCTCTCTCTCAATCTCTCTCTCTCTCAATCTCTCTCTCTCTCAATCTCTCTCTCTCTCAATCTCTCTCTCTCTCAATCTCTCTCTCTCTCAATCTCTCTCAATCTCAATCTCTCTCAATCTCAATCTCTCTCAATCTCTCTCTCTCTCAATCTCTCTCTCTCTCTCTCAATATCTCTCTCTCTCTCTCAATATCTCTCTCTCTCAATATCTCTCTCTCTCAATATCTCTCTCTCTCAATATCTCTCTCTCTCAATATCTCTCTCTCTCAATCTCTCTCTCTCAATCTCTCTCTCTCAATCTCTCTCTCTCAATCTCTCTCTCTCAATCTCTCTCTCTCAATCTCTCTCTCTCAATCTCTCTCTCTCAATCTCTCTCTCTCAATCTCTCTCTCTCAATCTCTCTCTCTCAATCTCTCTCTCTCAATCTCTCTCAATCTCTCTCTCTCAATCTCTCTCTCTTTCTCTCTCTCTCTTTCAGTTTCTCTGCCTCTCATTCTCATGAAAGAAACAAGTGCAGCAACAGAATTCACTAGCACAAACAAAAGCAGAATAAACCTCACCACATCAACAACCGATGCCGTGCAATTAATCTTCTCCTTCCACTCCTTGGCTTCTTGCTCCGACGTGCAGCCCATCTCCAGCACCTGAGGCAGCGTTGGTGCTGTCAATCTGTAATGCACAACAGTCTTTCATACACAAGTGGACAACCATGTAATTTAAAGTCATAATCTTTGACCTTCTCTGTGATGAAAATATGGATATGATAAATACAAAGATAACATCACAATGAGAAAATCATATCAGCAAAATGAAAGTCAATGCAATTTTTTTTTTAAATGGAGCACAACTACTCCTGTGTAATACAGGAGTGAGCTAGTGGAAAAAATAAATATAAAGCAATAATGTGATAATATGAAATGGAAACAGGCAATGTAAAGTCAGAAAATAAACCAGCGTTGAATGTAATAAAACGCCATTTTCTGGCTGAGTCCCGGAGGCTTCCCGGAGTTTACCAGGCTGATATGCTAATATCAGACTTTGGCATCAGTCATGTGTACGGAGTTCTTATGGATCTACCGAGGACCACGAGCCAGAACCTGGCCCCCTCAGAGAGGCAAGGGAAGCAATGGTCTATAGAAAACCCCGTGTGATTGGAAGCATTCTATGTCTGCCATCGACCGGGTTAGGCACCCAGAAAGGTAGGCGTCCCAAAACAAACCCCTATTCTGGTTTAAATTGCAACCAAAAGTCGAACGAGTGGATAGAACTCCCCAAACAAAAACGAGCTAACTATTATGACATCATTCGTTGTCGCGTCGCTGTCTGCGCAGCCCCCCCCCTCTCCGGGAGGGGGAAGGGGAAGCACCAGACCTACCGTGCTGGCGATCCACACCCCAGTTCTTGAGGCTGAGGCACTCGGCTCAGTTGTGTGCTCTGGCTCCGGTCTTTTTGTGGCGCTGTGCCTTGCGTGTGGCTGCTGTTCTCCAGGGGTGCGAGAGCCAGGAGTTATTCCTCAGTACTCGGGCTGCATGCGCCTAGGGTTCCCTTCCCTAGGTGCCCAGTAAGTACTGCCCTTGGAGTTTGGGGTTACCTTCCACAAGTTCCTCAGGGTCTGCCTCTGTGTGTCTGCTTTACTGCTTGGTTTCTTGGCTGCTCTTTGGGTACTTGGGGGTTTTCTCTCCCCTAGTTTACCTTAGGGTAAGAGGCAGTTTTCGCACTGGTAGCGGCGGAGGGTACTGTGTAGCTAGTTGTCACCTATCACAGCAGCCGGCTCTTCCTTGGGGTACGTTGTCATTTTGCGGGGTTTTTGTTTTTCTTTTTGCTTTTGCCTTGGTGGGGGATTCTGCCCTCATTGCCACTGGTGTTTGGCCTCACCCTGATACTTGGTGGTGCCCCCTGCTTTGTCCCCGTGAGTGTACACGTCCCTGGGGTTCAGCTTTAGACAGTTTGTTTGGTAGTTTTGGGCGCCGGTTAGCAGTACCCTGCCTGGGTTTACCCGAGCGCGAGTCCTCTTCAAGTAAACGCTCAGGACCCTGGGAATCCCCTAAGGGACGCATGGGTCCGATGGATGTGACCCCGGGGTCCCCCCTCGCTTCGTGCGAGTTTGAGGGTTATTCGGTCCCCTTGTCTCAGGGCGACCCCTCACTGTTTTTGCCTCCGTCATGCAGCCTGTTGGGTCGGTGACACTTTTGACCCTGAGTCCTGTTGCTTGCTGGTGACTATTTACCCAGTCTATGGATGATGATCTTCAGGTACAGGCTGCACAAGCGTTGCATTCTAGGTTTCGTGCCACACAGCGTCACTATCTGGATTCCCTCCCTCTCTTCTTCACCAAACTTCCTCCTCCCACAATACTACGCACAGCGCTAATTATCACCACAATCCTGCTATTATCACAATCCTAGCCACTAAATCCTGTAAATGAATAATTGACCACAAGTTTGTTTTGTAAAGTAACATCTGAAGTCGTTTGAAGATTCCTAGATAGACGAAATAGAGCTAGCGCTGTGAACATTGTGAATGGCATTGATTCACTGATATTTGAACATTGTACACGGTCATTATCACACTCAGGCTCTTCTGTAATACTATCATGGCTAAATAATACAAGTTAAATATATATTTTGACATTATTAGGCAATGCTGTTGTCATAAGCTGAACAGCAGTGCTGTGAGCTCATGCTGCGTGCATCAGCCTTGGTTACTCACTCAGTACTGAGGCTCTCACACCCAGGAATGTTGCCCACAATTTTTTTTTTTAAATGGCTTCTGTTTACAAGAACCCTGAGGAAGCTGATGTGAACCCCCATGTAGCCGCGGGTGTTTTAAATCATACACTAAAAATATAAGACCCCGGAGGCACGTTGCACCCCCCGTCGAGCACCTATAGGCGTGTTGCGCACCCCCCGTTGAGGGCCTATAAGCGCAATGCGCAGTTCAGTGGTTAATCTACATGAAAAGATGCCACTATTTAGATTGTTGCATTGGCACCTAGCATCTAGGCGAAGAATATTCTATGTTCTTTGTTATTTTGCAAATATCTAATGTACATCTGCTAGGACAGACCACTCAACCAGCAAGTGCCTAAAACTACAGTTACCTCAACAATTATTACAGGTTCACCCATTAGTATCTACATGTCCTTCAGGTGGGCCTTATTTGCAGTCTCCCACCACATGCCAGGGTCAAGGTCAACAAGACTAATGTAATGTGGGAACAACTATAATACAAAATAAGAATAAACTGGGAACATGGATATTTGTGAACATTCAGATCAAAGCATGTTAATGGCAAAATGAGAATAAGATAAGGTAAAAATATTAAGGCAAATGATAAGCAAATGTGAGAAAAGAGTTAGAGAACAGTGGAGTGCTTAGGAAGGGCAAGGATGTGGCAGGGAAGGGAAGGGAAGGGCAAGGGTGTGGCAGGGAAGAAGGGGGGAAGTGAAGGGAAGGACAAGGGTGTGGCAGGGAAGAAGGGGAAGGGAAGGGAAGGGCAAGGGTGTGGCAGGGAAGAAGGGGGAAGTGAAGGGAAGGGCAAGGGTGTGGCAGAGAAGGAGGAAGGGAAGGGCAAGGGTGTGGCAGAGAAGGAGGAAGGGAAGGGCAAGGGTGTGGCAGGGAAGAAGGAGGAAGGGAAGGGCAAGGGTGTGGCAGAGAAGGAGGAAGGGAAGGGCAAGGGTGTGGCAGGGAAGAAGGGGGAAGTGAAGGGAAGGGCAAGGGTGTGACAGAGAAGAAGGAGGAAGGGAAGGGCAAGGGTGTGGCAGAGAAGGAGGAAGGGAAGGGCAAGGGTGTGGCAGAGAAGGAGGAAGGGAAGGGCAAGGGTGTGGCAGGGAAGAAGGAGGAAGGGAAGGGCAAGGGTGTGGCAGGGAAGAAGGAGGAAGGGAAGGGCAGGGGTGTGGCAGAGAAGGAGGAAGGGAAGGGCGAGGGTGTGGCAGGGAAGAAGGGGGAAGTGAAGGGAAGGGCAAGGGTGTGACAGAGAAGAAGGAGGAAGGGAAGGGCAAGGGTGTGGCAGAGAAGGAGGAAGGGAAGGGCAAGGGTGTGGCAGGGAAGGAGGAGGAAGGGAAGGGCAAGGGTGTGGCAGGGAAGGAGGAGGAAGGGAAGGGCAAGGGTGTGGCAGAGAAGGAGGAAGGGAAGGGCAAGGGTGTGGCAGAGAAGGAGGAAGGGAAGGGCAAGGGTGTGGCAGGGAAGAAGGAGGAAGGGAAGGGCAAGGGTGTGGCAGAGAAGGAGGAAGGGAAGGGCAAGGGTGTGGCAGGGAAGAAGGGGGAAGTGAAGGGAAGGGCAAGGGTGTGACAGAGAAGAAGGAGGAAGGGAAGGGCAAGGGTGTGGCAGAGAAGGAGGAAGGGAAGGGCAAGGGTGTGGCAGGGAAGAAGGTGGGAGAGAGAGAGAGGGGAATAAGGCATTAATATACCTGATGATGAACTTGATGCCCCAGCGGTTGTCGCCAGGGAAACGGTCAACTGAGGCCTCCGCCCCTCGTAGATCGAGGCTCCCTTTCTGCTGGCTGCCCAGGACCTGGCTGTCACCTCCCTGTAAGTGTACTCTTCACTGTTATGCATTGTCCTAACAATATATTATTAATCATTAATTTTTCATTTAATAAATTATATGGCAACCTACCAGTCCAACCCATCCTTCTAATAGAATATATCATTTTGACATATAAATGTACCCAAGGCCAATAATTGTCATTCTAAAAAATAGTAGCAGCTTGCAAAATTGACAATGTCCCATTTTCTTTTTTGGGTCCTCCGGTAGGTTAGGATAAGGTCACTTTTGTATGACAGTTTTTTTGACATTGGGAAACCTTAGGAGGACGGGCTGACCAGTCACCATAAAGCAAAATCTGATTAATCCTAACCTCACCTCACCTAATAGAGTGCATTAACTCACCAAAAGTAAGTTAGCAATTTATGAAATATTCTGCATGATGATGACTGTCTAATTTTTTTATACACTTTCTTACAAATATAACTCTACTAGTCTGAAATCTCCATGGAATCATTTGAAAAAACTAGTGCTGTATACAGTATTTACAAATTTATATTACATGATGTAATGTTCAGAGTTATAAGAATATAAATTTTAGTACTGTATGATGAACTTTATGGAATTAATTCCACCAATCGTATTTACATTTCTCCATTTCTATTCTCATTAATGCCTATCCTGTTTTTATCTTCTCTGAGTTTCCTGCTACAAATCAACTAACAATATTTTGAATTACTCTTTCATCAATATTTTCTGGTTCAATTTCTTCAACATAAATGGCAGGGAACCAATGCTGCTTCAGTCCACCATAGTCCCCCTTCCACCATTCCTTATCAGCCTTGTTTACGTTTTGGATGATGGCATGTTTGGGGAATGTCAACTCATCCGCTCTCTTCGCTTTGTAAGAAAATTTGGCCTTCACATGGATCTGAGGAGAACAGCATCTTCTATTTAATATTCTTACATGAATCTGTTTATGAGGTTTAATAAATGTTATATTCAAGAGAGTTTGATTTTAAGCAATTTCCAGATCAGATTTCATGTCTTTTATAGTAACTTCAGCAGGTATACAGAGCACCACTTGGTTTCCGAACTTTAGTTATCTGAAACTTCCAGTTTCCCGATTGGGGTTGGGGAGTCATGCTACCCGAACTTCGTTCGGGTAGCATGACTCCTACCCCTTCCTACCCGAACTTCGTTCGGGTAGGAAGGGGTCCGCCAAGCGTCACGCCGGCCTGTGGTGGTGGGTGGGAGATGGTCCAGTTTGCCCACTGTGACTTCACAGATTCACGGCCTATTATTCCTATGATTCTGAATTGTCATAAGGCTGGAATGTTCATTTTGCGCCTTTGTTTTACATATTTGCACAATCAATAAACATCTGTGCACCACGTCGGCTCCAAATGCACGCACTGTGTCAGTGATGGCTGACTGGTGGGTGGATGGATGGGAGAGCTTAGGTGGGAGGCAGTATGAGAGAGAGGGGAGAATCAGTGAGAGGTGGGAGAATCAGTGAGAGAGAAGGGGGGAGAATCAGTGAGAGGGGAAGAATCAGTGAGAGAGAGGGGGAGAATCGGTGAGAGAGAGGGGGAGAATCAGTGAGAGAGGGGGGGGGGGGAATCAGTGAGAGAGAGGGGGGGAGAATCAGTGAGAGAGGGGGGGAGAATCAGTGAGAGAGGGGGGGGGGAGAATCAGTGAGAGAGGGGGGGGGGAGAATCAGTGAGAGAGGGGGGGGGGGAGAATCAGTGAGAGAAGGGGGGGGGGAGAATCAGTGAGAGAGGGGGGGGGGGAGAATCAGTGAGAGAAGGGGGGGGGGAGAATCAGTGAGAGAGGGGGGGGAGGAGAATCAGTGAGAGGGGGGATGAGAATCATTGAGAGAGAAGGGGGGAGAATCAGTGAGAGGGGAAGAATCAGTGAGAGAGAGGGGGAGAATCGGTGAGAGAGAGGGGGAGAATCAGTGAGAGAGGGGGGGGGAATCAGTGAGAGAGAGGGGGGGAGAATCAGTGAGAGAGGGGGGGAGAATCAGTGAGAGAGGGGGGGGGGAGAATCAGTGAGAGAGGGGGGGGGAGAATCAGTGAGAGAGGGGGGGGAGAATCAGTGAGAGAAGGGGGGGGGGAGAATCAGTGAGAGAGGGGGGGGAGAATCAGTGAGAGAAGGGGGGGGAGAATCAGTGAGAGAGGGGGGGGGGGGAGAATCAGTGAGAGGGGGGATGAGAATCATTGAGAGAGGGGGGGGAGAATCAGTGAGAGAGGGGGGAGAATCAGTGAGAGAGGGGGGGGGAATCAGTGAGAGAGAGGGGGGGAATCAGTGAGAGAGAGGGGGAGAATCAGTGAGAGAGGGGGGAGAATCAGTGAGAGAGGGGGGAGAATCAGTGAGAGAGGGGGGAGAATCAGTGAGAGAGGGGGGAGAATCAGTGAGAGAGGGGGAGAACTAGTCAGAAAGGGAGAGATGCTAGGGAAGGAGGGGGAGGTAGGGAGAGATGCTAGGAGGTAGGCAGGGAGGGAAGTAGTGAGAATTAGGGAGGGAGGGAGGGAAAGGCAGGCAGGCAGGCTGGATGGCAGGCAGTGAGGGAGGCAGGCTGGATGGCAGGGAGGGACAGTCACGCGGACCGTGTGACCTTTGAGAGAGAGTATGGGATGTGGGGGGGGGTTGGTGGTGGTGGGGGAGAGACCAGTTCACTCCCGAAGATAAGCCTAACACACTTGACCTGTTAGCAGGGAGGGAGGGAGGGAGGGAGACTGACTGACTGACTGACTGACTGACTGGCTGGCTGGCTGGCTGGCTGGCTGGCTGACTGGTTGACTGGCTGACTGACTGACTGACTGACTGACTGACTGACTGACTGGCTGGCTGACTGGCTGGTAATAACCAGAGGATGTTTGCCAGACGTCTTAATAATCAGCTAGGAACAATTAAGGACTTTTATAAAGCAGATCAGGACTTCACTTATTGGTGAGTACAAACAAAATACGGTCACATTTAACCTATGAACCTGTCAATTTTTTTCCCTAGAGTTTTTTCCTAAATTTTTCGGAAACATTTATTTTTACATTTCTAGTTTATTTTTTCCCTCTATTTCTCGTTTACGAACTTACATTTTAATCAATGGGTCTCGTCCCCAAGGGGTTCAGAAACTAAGTGGTGCTCTGTATTTGCATAGTCAACAACCTGAAGAACTTACATTGCTGATGTATGTTACATAACCACCAGGCTGTGGGGGTCCAACTTGATCCTAAAAGATATTCATAAATATTAATACTGTATGTTATATACTTTATACATTTGCAATTTTAATGACTTCACAAATTTGGAAAGTAAATGATACTAATAAAATATATTTTATTGTCAATGGAACTTACAAGACAAACCTCAATAAATTGTAAAACTCAATATAACTATACAGTGTAATCCAAAAAATTTGAACCTCTAACAAACTCCTCCAAATAATATACAATTTTTCCCATCTGATTGCCTCTCCACGATTTGTACTGTATTTGGATCAAGGCGGTATTCACTGTGAAGGTGATGAGTCACAATAACGTGGCTAAAGTATGTTGACCAGACCACACACTAGAATGTGAAGGGACGACGACGTTGAGGTCCGTCCTGGACCATTCTCAAGTCTTCACTGTGAAATTTTCAGAAGATTGTATTTTCTCATTTTTTTTGCTATACCTGTACTTGTGATTTTAATAGCCAAATAATATTCTAACAATTTTTTTATTATTAGAATATTAAAAACCAGCATTGAATGTAATGAAACGCCATTTTCTGGCCGAGTCCCAAAGGCTCCCCGGAGCTACCCAGGCTGATATGGATACCCTAACTATTCTGCATCAGTCGATGTGGGTGGAGTTCTAGGCCTACTGGGGACCACGAGCCAGAACCTGGCCCCTCTCACAGAAGCATGAGGAGCAATGGGCCAGAGAAATGCACATATGATTTGGAGCATTCCATATCTGCCATCGACCGGGACAGGCACCCAGAAAGGTAAGCGCCACAAAACAAACCCCTATTCTGGTTAAAACAACGAAAATTGCCAAACGAGTGGACAGAACTCCCCAAAAGAAAAACGAGCAAACAAACATGACATCACACGAGCCGCACCGCATGTCTGCGCAGCTCCCCCCTCCCCTGGAGGGAGAAGGGGGAGGGGAAGCCCCAGACCCCTCACGCCGGCGATCAATACTTTAGTTCTGAGACTGGATAACAAAAATGCAGAAAAAAACGTTGACCGGAGGGAGGGAGGGTTGCCGGGAAGCCTCCAGGACTCGCCCAGAAAATGGCTTTTCATTACATTCAGCGCTAGTTTTCTGGGGGAAGCCCCTACGGCTCCCCGGAGCTACATCACCAAAGCCGAAAACAGAGGGACACATCCGGGAGGCAGTCACCGCTCACACCACAACACGAAGTCGAGACAACAGGCAGCTACAGCCAACCCAAGGCGACACAGGCCTGCCTAGGCCCAGTAACATACACGAGGGAGCATGCAGCCAGGACCCAGCGCGACCGCCAAAACAACCCTGTGCCCAAATGTCAGCTAAAGACATGCCACCAAAGACGACAGAAGAACAACAAACCTAGGAACGTCAAGCACACAGGGAGAGACCGCAGGCCAGCTAGACAGGACGCCCAGCGGACAACCGGAGAGAGCCGAACCCGAGAATAGGGAAAAAGGGAAACCGGATCAACCCAAAGCGCAGCCCCGGCCACAGAGGCCGTGGCGCAAAGAACAGCGGAGAGCCGCAAATGGATATAAAAAGAAGCACCCTGGCCAACAAACCAAGCAGTAACAATCCCGGGGACCCCCAGGAACCGAAGGGGCCACAACAAACTGAAAGGAATAGAGAAAAGAGCACCCTGCCCCAGAACAGGATGGCTCAGGTCCAAAAAGGCCCAAGGCCTCCAAGTCTGCTCCTCCCCAACCCCGGGAATCACCACGTCAGGCCCCGGGAGCAAGTCGTCCTCCAAAGCCCCGGCCTCACAAGAAAAAGCCAGGGTGGCCTAAATAGCAGGAAGAGAGCGGACCCACTCGCCACTGCCTACAGCAGGAGGAACAGACTGGAATGCCTCCGACGCAATCCCGGAAGGGGCAACCCCCGAATCTGCCCGAGTCTCAAACATCGAAACCCTACCCCAACCCTAAAGCCCTCAGATGCCTTGGAGCCAGAAGCGGGGGTGGGGAGGGGGGGGGAGGGCATCAACAGATTTGGGGATTGGAGCCACAAACTAGCAACAAACCTCGCAGGACTCAGGGTCGAATGTGTCACTGACCCAACGGACAGCACGACGGAGGCAAAACAACGAGCATCGCCCTGAGAAGAGGAGACAGAGTAACCCCTCAAACTCGCACAACACGAGAGGGGACACAGGGGTCTCACTTTTACGGTGTTGTCGTTGTCGGTTGCCCATCCTTTATGGATAAACCAACCCAAAATCCGTAGAGTGCTTATACTAGTTCAGGAGATCATCCTGTACGCTTCCTACTCTCAGAGAGGGGCTCAGCATAACTGGTTAAAATGTGCTTACCACAAAATTGTTTCCTGCGAGGATGCTCACTCGTCGACGCTTGACCAGGGCGCTCACACAGTTGCCCACGAAACTGTTTCAGGACGGCTTCACAACTCTTCCTGCAATCCAGGACTTGAGCCCACACGTTTCCAGATTGATTCCACAGCTGAAACATCTGCACACTTCCTTCCTCTAGAAGGTATATCAACCAGGGGGTTCTTCTCTAACAGGAGCTCAACGGAGCGCGACATCCCCTTAACGATTTCTGGTGCTCAAGTGAGGTCAATGTCCTCAGAAGGGAGCCTCACACCCTCAGCAAATTTTCCACATCTCATAACCAGTCATTTATTTATATTCTTATTCGCTGCCCATACTTGCAAACTATTTGTCAAATTCAATCGAGTGTTTACTATATATTATATAAATATTCAGGTCTATATCTCCTTAACCTTTTAGTTAGGTCTGGCCTGGCAGAATAACTCTCAAGGGGAGACTCGTTTCTCCTGCAGACTGAGATCATAACCCAGTGGACCCGAGTGCCCCCGCATAGTTTCCCAGGGCCCCTAGACTGGGTTTGCTAAGAGTTAGCCCAGGCAGGGTACTGCTAACCGGCGTCCCAAACTACCAAGCAAACCGGTAAAAGCTGAACTCACGGGAAGTGTTCACTCACGAGGGCGAAGCAGGAGGTGCTAACGACCCTAAGATAAGGGGAAGGGAGAACACAAGGCAGACCCCCCCCACCAGGCAAAAAGAAAAAGAAAGAAAAAGTCCCAAGAGAACAATGCACTCCAAAAGAACAGATCTGGCTGCTGTCAAAGGTGAAAACTAGCTATGCAATATCCCGCACCCCACCAGTGCCATAACTACCACTTACCCCAAGGCAAACATGGGCGGAAACCCTCCCCCCCCCCCCACACACACACACACTCGAGGCGGTCAAACGCCAAGCAGCGAAATGCCAACAGAGATAGTCCCAAGGTGACTTGTGAAAGGGAACCCCAAGCCCCAAGGGCAGTATTTACAGGGCACTCAGGGAGGGTGACCCTAAGCACATGTAGCCCGAGTACCTGATAAATTACTCCCAACTCGCATGCCACCGTAAGAGCAGTACTGAAACCAATAACAGCACAGAGAAGACTGGAGTTGGAGCCACACAAATACACATGATTCCATCAGCCGAGAAACTGAAGTGTAGATCGCCGGCGCGTGGGTCTGGGGCTCCCCCTTTCCCCTTCCGGAACTGGGGAAGTTGCACAGACATGCAGCGTGGCTCATGTGACGTCATGCTTGTTTGCTCATATTTCTTTCGGAGAGTTCTGTCCATTCGCTTGGCGATTTTCATTGTTTTATCCAGAATAGGGGTTTGTTTTGTGATGCTTACCTTTCTGGGGTGCCTGTTCCAGTTGATTGAATATATAGAATGCTTCAAATCACATGTGCATTTCTATGGGCCATTGCTCCTCATGCCTCTCTGAGGGGGGCCAGGTTCTGGCTCGTGGTCCCCAGTAGGCCTAGAACTCCACCCACATCGACTGATGCAAAATAGTTAGGTTATCCATATCAGCCTGGATAACTTCGGGGAGCCATAGGGACTCCCGCCTGAAAACCAATGTTGAATGTAATGAAACGCCATTATCTAGGCGAGTACTGGAGGCTTCATGGAGCTTACCAAGCTGATGTGTATGTATTAGACCATGACATCAGTCAATTCAATTGGAGTTCTATGACTACCGCAATCCACAAGCCAGAACCTGGGCCCCTTCACAGAGGCACGAGGAGCAAGGGCCTATAAAAACTCCCCTATGTTGTTGGAAGCATTCCATGTCTGCCATCGACTTTGTTAGGCACCCAGAAAGGTAGGCGTCCCAAAACAAACACCACCTGGTTAAAAATTGCTACCAAAAACTGAACTATCAAGAAGAACTCTCAATCTGAACATAAGCAAATAATCCCGACATCACAACTGCCTCCATGCTGCTGTTTGCACAATTCTCCCCCTCACCAGGAGGAAAAGGGGGAGCCTCAGACCCCACACCGGCCATCCAACCCCAGTTCTAAGGCTGAATATATAAAATGCGAATACCACTGAAGGGAGAGAGGGAGGGTTGCTGGGGAACCTCCAGGACTCGCCCAGAAAATGGCATTTCATTACATTCAATTCTGGTTTTCTGTGGAGAGCCCCTCTGGCTCCCCGGAGCTACCTAACCACAGAAAAATAAAGGAGGGACATACCCGGGTAGCGGCCACACCTTAACTCAAAGTCGAGACAACTGGCTGCAACCTGCAAATCCAAAGCGACACATACCCGATTAGGGCCAGGAACATTAATGAGGTACCGAGAGACCAGGACCCTGTTTGACCTCCAAAACCCTTGTGCCCGAATGTCAGCCCAAAACATATTGCCAAAAACGGCATCTAAAGCAGCAAATTTGCGAACTTCACGGGCACAAGGATAGACCGCAGGCTGGCTGGACTGAATAATCATACGAATGACCTGGGAGACTCAAGCACTAGAACAGGGAAGAAGGGTAGTCGGGTCAACCCAAAGCATGTCCCCGGCCACTGAGGCTGTGGCGTGCAGATAGCCTAAGAACCGCAACCGGACACAACACATGATGCACCCCCTGCCAAACCAAGCATAAACCACCCAAGGACCTCTCCGGAAAGCTGCAGTCTCGTTCTTCACAAGAAAAGACGATGACAGCTGCAAAAGAACGAACCTACCACCAGGACTGAATGAGAAGAAACCCATGCGGATGAGAGCATGACGCTCATCAGCCCAACCCCCAGAGGCCAATGCTAACATGTGAAGATCCTTATCAAAACTATCCCAAACCGAAGGGGCCACCACAAACAGAGTAGAAGAAAGAAAAGAAAGCGCCCAGTCGAACGACCAGGATGGCTCAGGCAATGCATGAGCAGGCTGGAGGTGAAACAACGCAGGATACAGATTGAAAAATGAAGTGGAAGTAACATCCATCCCAAACGCAAGCAGGAGTGGCTCCACCAGCGCCGCACAATATGAGGCAACAGTATTCAGCATAAGATGACGGTCCTAAAACAGCCAAGAGAAATAGGACAAAAGAATCCGATCTGAAACCGAAGACAACCTACGAAGAGACATAAAAATGACAAAAGGACCACCTGGAAACTTCATACTGCCGTTGAGATGTAAGACACTGGTGGGACACCATCAATGAAGCTACCTGATCACCATACAAGTGGTGATGGACCCGCATCTGAAAGACCAAACATGAAGTTCAGAGGAGAAGATCAAACCAGCCACATACTGGACTGGACCGATCTGCTGGAAGAGGCTAAGCCGCGGAAAAGTCCCTGGGTTCGGACATTGAGCAAGCAGTGCCAGAAACCAAGGCTGGGCCGGCCACCAAGGGGGCCAACAGGACAACTCTCCCCTTATAAGTCTCCAACCGAGCAAGAACCCAAAGCAACAGGGGGGAAAGAGGTAAAAGTAACCCCACCTCTAACAGTCCTGCTGAAAGGCATTAACCCCGGTGGCCTCGCAGTCGGGGAAGGGCTCCACATAAACCGGGAGACACTTCGGACCACGCGAAGATGCTTGTACGTCCTACAGAGCCAACTGAACGAGTCGGCAATGACTGTCCATTCCGTGGAAAGGGGCATGAACCAGGACAGGCTGTTTGCGTCGGGGTAAACCAGCACAGTGAAGTTCAGTCTCCCACACAGCTGATCAAACAACCGACAAGTGACCCTGGAGCCCCCAGAAACAGCCAAAGGCGGGGACCGCAGCCGCAGCAATGACGCAGGAGGGAGAGACAAGAAGGAAGCCCGAGAGACCCACCACAAAACCCAGCCAAGTCCAAACCTGAGAGGGAACCAGATGGGACTTCCTCCATTTCACCAAGAACCCGAACACAGCGAACTGGGAAAGAACCAAACCCCTGGCGAGCAGACACGTGGACCGGCTGGGAGCCTACACCAGCTAGTTGTTAAGGTAGGCCAGAACCCGAACCCCTAGCAAATGCAAAGAGGGTCACCATGACCCAAGGAAGGTGTGTGAAAACATGAGGTGCAAGATTTAGGCCGAATGGAAGGCAACGAAAGCTGTAAGCTTGTTGCCCAACAACAAAACTAAGCCAGTCCATGAGCCCAGGATAAATCGGGACATGCCAGTACGCGTCCCGGAGGTCCAGAAACACCATCCAAGCAACTGGCTCAGAAAGAAGCCAGACCTGGGACAGAGTAGTCATCCGAGAGGAGGGGCAAAAAACCCAGGGGTTCAGAAAGGACAAATCCAGAATGAACCTCAGAGCCACATATTTCGATTTCGGGATAGGAAAGAGGTGGGAAATCCATCTGAGGGACGAGGTCGTTTCGACCACCCCCAAGCACACCCATTCCAAGATGACCTGACAGAGCACAAGAGAACAGGCCTGCCCTGCTAACCCCAAAACCCCCGAAGGAGGAGGAGCCACCCAACTCCATCACAGGCTGAAGGAAACGACCTGAAATGCCCACAAATTGTGGGACCAGGCGCACGCAAACAGTGCGAGCCTCCCTCCTATTGCGAATATCCCTCCCCGCAAAGGGGCCGACGCCCCTTACGAGAAGCCAACCCACGAGCAGAGCGATCACCGTGCCGACTGCTCCAAAGGCAATGTCGGTTCCAAAACTGGCACCACTGACATACCATGACCGAAGGAACCCCGAACCTTGACACGACCTTTCCGGGAAAGACCCCCACAGTCACCCCCGGAGAACCAACAAGTCACACATAGGGCGACAGCTAGACGAAGCCACCTGCAGATACTGCACAACCGCAGAATCTGCAAACAGCAACGGACTTAACGATGTGGGGATAAGTCAGAGTGGGAAAATGTTGTAAGTGGAGTGCCTCAAGGCTCTGTCCTGGGACCTCTGTTGTTTATAATATATATAAATGATTTAGATTCAGGTTTGAGTAGCAACACTTGCAAATTTGCAGATGATACAAAAATCGGTAAGGAAATTAACACGGAAGAAGACTCACTATCACTTCAAGTTGCTCTAAATAGGGTTTTGAAATGGTCAAAGGATTGGCAGATGCAGTTTAATGCTGATAAATGTAAAGTTTTGAGGCTAGGTAATGATGATAGAGTTACAAGATACGAGCTAGATGATGTTGAGATTGCGAAGTCGGATTGCGAAAGGGATCTGGGAGTTATGATTAGTAAGAATTTAAAACCAAAAGATCAATGCATGAATGTTCAAAATAAGGCAAATAGAACACTGGGATATATTAATCGAAGCATTAGTAACAAGACACCTGGTGTTGTTCTTCAACTATATCTTGCTCTGGTTAGGCCCCATTTGGATTATGCAGTTCAGTTTTGGTCACTGTACAATAGAATGGATATAAATTCACTTGAACGTGTCCAGCGTAGGATGACAAAGTTAATTCCCCAAATTAGAAATCTTTCATATGAAGAAAGATTAACAAAGCTTAAATTGCATTCATTGGAAAGGCAAAGAGCTAGGAGTGACATGATAGAGGTTTACAAGTGGATTATTGGACATAACAAAGGGGATATATCCCTCCCTTCCTTCTCCTGGGGAGGGAGGAGCTGCACAAACAGCAGCATGGTGACATTTGTGACGTCATGCTCGGCTGATCGTTTTCCGTTTGGGGAGTTCTGTCCAACAGTTCAGCTTTCTGTAGCAATTTGTTAACCAGATAGGGTTTCTTTTGGGGTGCCTACCTATCTGGAAGCCAGACCCAGTCAATGGCAGAAACAGAATGCTTCCAACCACAGGAGGTTTTCTATAGGCCATTGCTCCTCGTGCCTCTCTCAGAGGTGGGGGGAGGGGGGTCAGGTTCTGGCTCGTGGTCCTCAGTAGGCCTAGAACTCCATTCGCTTGACTGATGCCAGGATCTAATACATTCATATCACCCCGGATAGCTCTGGGGAGCGGAAGGGGCTCCCCCTAGAAAAATCACGTAACATTTGGTGATAAAAAAAAAAAATTCAAATGCAGTATGCAGAAATCCAGAGAGGGTTTGAAATGATGCAGACAAGATTGTGGAGATGTCACTGCATTGTATATAGATAAATTATATAGATACATGAATAAACTTGATATAATAAAATAAGCATACCTACCTGTTCCAACAATCCCTGCATAACATGCTCCGTCACAGGATACCGCAACTTCACATGACGGAAAAGGAAGTTACGTTCATAGTACTTGACAAGATCTACAAGACTGTCAAAAGTAGCAGTTCCAATTGTAAAGAGTTGGTCCTCTTGTTTGACACGACAGTGCTTTGTACACCCTTCAGCTCTGTGGGGTAAAAGCTTGCAAAGTTAAAAATCATAAATTTAATAGAATGATTTTTTTTTTGTACAGTTAACAATACAAATAAAATTCTTAAACAGATTGTGTAAAAACTATGAATTATTCATTGGTAAGGTCATTAAAGCTTTACGAGAGCTTGGAACAAAATGCCAGATCAACTGACAAGCCATCAGTAGTAAGTAAGGGCTGGCTGAACAAGTTTAACCCTTAAACTGCGCAACGCACCTGCAGGCCCTCACTCGGAGGCGTGTTGCGCAAACCAGACATTTATATTTTTCCCGTTCCAAACTCAAAACTCCATTCAAAACTCCTGCGGCTACATGGGGTTTACATCAGCTTCCTCAGGGCTCTTGTAAACAGACGCCATCTTTAACAAAAATTCGTGGGCCACATTCCCGGGTGTGAGAGCCTCAGTACTGAGTGAGCAACCAAGGCTGGTGCACACAGCATGAACTCACAGCACTGCTGTTCAGCTTGTGACCACAGCATCGCCTAATAATGTCAAAATATATATACAACTTGTATTATTTAGCCATGATAATATTACAGAAGAGCCCGAGTGTGATAATGACTGTGTACAATGTTCAAATATCGGTGATTCAATGCTGTTCACGATGTTCGCAGAGCTAGCCACAGCACCACAGTATTATTTCGTCCTTCTGGGAATCTTCAAACGACTTCCCAGGTTCCTTTACAAAATAAACTTGTGGTCAATTATTCATTTACAGGATTTAGTGACCAGTATTGTGATAACAGCAGGATTGTGGTGATAATAAGCACTATGCGTAGTATTGTAGGAGGAGGAATTGTGGTGAGAGAGGGAGGTTGAGAGAGAATCGAGGTAGCCTCACTGTGTGTGTGTGGCAGCCACTCCTGTTTTGCTCATCTTACTAGCTTTGTGGTTCGCTATGGTGAACACATTTGTACATGGGTATATACAATGTGTGTATACCCATGTACATATGTGCGTAGTATTGTTGGAGTTGGAATTGTGGTGAGGGAGGGGAGGGAGGGAGAGAATCGAGGTAGCCTCACCGTGTGTAATTACCCAAGTGTAATTACCTAAGTGTAGTTACAGGATGAGAGCTACGCTCGTGGTGTCCCGTCTTCCCAGCACTCTGTCATATAACGCTTTGAAACTACTGACGGTCTTGGCCTCCACCACCTTCTCACCTAACTTGTTCCAACCGTCTACCACTCTGTTTGCGAAAGTGAATTTTCTTATATTTCTTCGGCATCTGTGTTTAGCTAGTTTATATCTATGACCTCTTGTTCTTAAAGTTCCAGGTCTCAGGAAATCTTCCCTATCGATTTTATCAATTCCTGTTACTATTTTGTATGTAGTGATCATATCACCTCTTTTTCTTCTGTCTTCTAGTTTTGGCATATTTAATGCCTCTAACCTCTCCTCGTAGCTCTTGCCCTTCAGTTCTGGGAGCCACTTAGTAGCATGTCTTTGCACCTTTTCCAGTTTGTTGATGTGCTTCTTATGATATGGGCACCACACAACCGCTGCATATTCTAGCTTTGGCCTAACAAAAGTCGTGAACAATTTCTTTAGTATTATGCCATCCATGTATTTAAAATCAATTCTGAAGTTAGAAAGCGTGGCATAGGCTCCTCGCACAATACAGTATTCTTTATGTGATCCTCAGGTGATAGTTTTCTATCTAGAACCACCCCCTAGATCTCTTTCTTTATCAGAATTCTTTAAAGATTTCTTACATAATATATAGGTTGTGTGAGGTCTATGTTCTCCTATTCCACATTCCATAACATGGCATTTATTTGATTTCTCATGTAGTGTATGGTGGGAACTGTAAAGTTTGGACACAATACCGGCTTACTTGCATAGTTCTGGTGAATAAAACATGTAGATAGGTATACATAACATGTGTAGTGTAATAAAAACAATAACAGTATGGTGGGAGGAGCAATGTTAGCAAGTAAGATGTTGGAGGAGTGAGGGAGACACTGGATGTTGGAGGAGTGAGGGGTGTGGCAGCTGATACTCATGGAGTTCTGAGTGTGTTGATAGTAAATATATATAGTGTGTGATAGTGTATAGTGTGTAAATAGATTGTATATACAGTGGTACCTCGATTAAGGAGTTTAATCCGTTCCGGCACCGAGCTCTTCATGTGGAAAACTTGCCTTGCGAAACAACAACAAAACTGTCGTAAAGGTGTCCGAGAACCAGCGGAAACGCTCGTTAATTGAGGAAAAGTTCGTTTGTAGACACAAATGTTATATGAGTGGCTCGCTCGTTACTTGAAATGCTCGTAGATAGAGCCGCTTGTTAATCGTGGTGCCACTGTATGCATAAATTAGTATGATGCATGGGAAATATGTGCAACAGGTACTCTGAGAGAGAACTCTATCAACATCAGAGGCCCGAGACTGTTCAACATGCTTCCACTACACATAAGGGGCATAACTGGCCGACCCCTCACAGTGTTCAAGAGAGAACTGGATAAGCACCTCCAAAGGATACCTGATCAACCAGGCTGTGACTCATACGTCAGGCTGCGAGCAGCCGCGTCTAACAGCCTGGTTGATCAGTCCAGCAACCAGGAGGCCTGGTCGACGACCGGGCCGCAGGGACGCTAAGCCCCGGAAGCACCTCAAGGTAACCTCAAGGTAACATATGTGTACATATGTGTCATGCACGTAACACAGTGTCTTCGGACAGTACGGATGTTCTACTGCCATAATACAGTGTACGTGTTCATTATACATAGGATTGAAACGAAAAAACAAATAAAATGTATTTGGAACTGTGCACAAAAAATGAACAAAAATATATTCGTGGCAACTCGTGCATCCTGCCCCAGGTGCCCTACCAGCCCCGGGGGCATACGCCACAAGCAACCAGGGAATAATGACGTCACGGGTGAACTTACAGACCCCATAGCAGCCAAAGTACGTACAATTTTGACCTTCTGTTACTATACCCATACTCAGGGAAGTGTTTTTGACATTTAAAAAAAAAAAAAAAAAAAAAAAAAAAAAAAAAAAAAAAAAAAAAAAAAAAAAAAAAAAAAAAAAAAAAAAAAATCCAGAGAATTTATTTCCTGCGCACTGGGGGGGGGGGGGGGGGTTCATATTTGGAAGCCAAGCAGTTGAGGAGTTAAGAAACACTAACTTTCATAATAATAGGGGTTGAGGTTCCTAATACTGATGCAGAAACTGCTCACAGGTTTCAAGAGTAAATCAGAAACAGAACCCAAGGGTAACAGCCCATAACAAGCTTTTAAAAGTAACATTACTGTATTTATTTTGAAATGTGATCAATCATTCATTCATTTCTAAAGAATAATGTGACACGTCTATCTTTAAGCACTGCACTGAGCAGAGTGCCTTAACCCTTAAACCGCGTACATTGTATATATACAACTGAAGGTACCGCGGGAGATTTAAAAGTCCTGCACAGTAAGGGGGGGGGGGCACCCATACGCTAGCCAGGGCTGATAGAAAACAGACGCCATCTTTGAAAAAACCAGTGTTGACTTTAGGAAGGAAGGAACTATCAGGGGAAAGCGCCAAGCCATTACAACTACATAACACTGAGAAGGGGTCAGGATAAGGATATGGAATGGGACGAGGTTAATGAATGGTGCCCAACCACTTGGATGGTCGGGAATTGAACGCTGACCTGCAGGAATCGAGACCGTCACTCTACCAAGTGGTTAAATGTAACAAAACCCCATTTTCTGGGCGAGACCTGGAGGCTCTCCAGAGCTATCCAGGCTAATATGTATCTAATAGCTTTCTAGGCCCAATGGAGCCCAAAGGCCCCCAAAGCTGCTCCTCCCCAACCCCAGGAGCCTCTACAACAGGCCCCGGGGCCAAGTCGACCTCCAAAGTCCCGGCCTCACAAGAAAATGCGTGGCAGCCGAGAGAGCTGGAAGAAGAGGGGCCCACTGGTCAGACCCCGAAGCATCGGCTGGAGGAACAGACTCGAATGCCTCCGCAGCTACCCCGGAAGGGGCAACCCCCGAAACTGCCCAAGTCTCAGAAACCTCTAACCCCGCCCCGACCCCGAAGCCTGCAGACGCGCAGGGGCTGGAAGCAGGAGGGGGGAACAAAACAAGAGAGCATGGACGGAACCAAGGCCGAAGTCACCAAAACCCCCAAGTCCCTACACAAAGCGGGGCAGCCTCGGGGCATCCAGGGAAGCAACAACCCGAGCGCGTTGCAACCTACCTACCCTGCAACGTGCGAGCTGCCTGCACCCAAGGGAAGTCATCAGCAGACTGGGTGAATGGAGTCACGAACAAGCAACAAAGCTCGCAGGACTCAGGGTCGAATGTGTCACCGACCCAACAGGCAGCATGACGGAGGCAAAAACAAGGAGAGTCACCCTAAGACAAAGGGACAGAGCAACCCTCAACTCACACAGAGCGAGAGGAGACGCAAGGGTCTCCACTATCGGACCCGAGAGGCCCCGGGGGGTTTCCCAGGGCCCCTAGACTGGGTCTGCTATGGGTTATCCCAGGCAGGGCACTGCTAACCGGCGCCCCAACCTACTAAGCAAACTGCTAAAGCTGAACCCACGGGGCGTGTCCACTCGTGAGGGTGAAGCAGGGGGTGCCACCACACAAACGAACCTAATATAAGGGAGGGGGGGGGGGGACACAAGGCAGACCCCCCTACCAAGCAAAAACAAATATAAAAGAAAAACCACACAAGTGGACAACGTACCCAGAGGGAACAGAGCCAGCCGCTGTCATAGGTGAAAACTAGCTACGCAGTACCCTGTGCCCCACCAGTGCTATAACTACCACTTACTCCAAGGTAAACAAGAGAGGAAAACCCCCAAACACTCAGGGCGGCTAAGCACCTAGCAGCGAAAAGCCAACAGAGGTAGACCCAAGGTGACTTGTGGAAGGCAACCCCAAGCCCCAAGGGCGGTACTTACAGGGCACTCAGGGAAGGTGACCCTAAGCACATGCAGCCCGAGTACCTGAGAATACTACTCCCAGCTCACACGACCACCGTAAGAGCAGCACTGCAAACAAGTCACAGCACTGAGACAAGACCAGAGCTGGAGCCACACGACCGTGCATTATCCCATCAGCCGAGGAACTGGAGCAGGGATCGCCGGCGCGGGGGTCTGGGGCTCCCCCCCTCCCCCTCCCGGGGAGGGGGGAGCTGCACAGACATGCGGCGCGGTTCGTGTGACGTAATGCTTGTTAGTTCATTTTCCTGGGGGAGTTCTGTCCACTCGTTTATCGATTTTTGTTGTTAACCAGAATAGGGGTTTGTTTTGTGGCGCTTACCTTTCTGGGTGCCTGTCTCGGTCGATGGCAGATATAGAATGCTCCAAATCACATGTGCATTTCTATGGGCTATTGCTCTCCGTGCCTCTTTGAGGGGGCCAGGTTCTGGCTCGTGGTCCCCAGTAGGCCTAGAACTCCACCCACATCGACTGATGCAAAATAGTTAGGGTATCCATATCAGTCATGGATAGCTCCGGGGAGCCGTAGGGGATCCCCCCAGAAAAAATATTTTTGGGACAGTGATGAAAGTAACATATATTAACATTGGACAATGTATTTATATGATATATAACAAAATAGATCATATTAACGCTATCACGCACCCCACGAGCGCGCCACAGACTTTGACGTCACGGTCTCAATGGTGCGGGCGAACGTGCGGTGACGCCTAAATGTGTATACTTGTTTCAGTTTTCTCACCTTAATTCTGGTGCTACATCGTTTGTTTTGGTATCATTGTGTTCGCAATTAAATTCCCTACAGGTGTGTGTAAATATAATGTCCAAAAGCCTGGTGTGACTCCCAGCAGCAAATCTTAAAGTCGACAAAAGTTACCCGTGAGCGTACAAAATCAGTAAAATGTGCATACTCATTCCATTTTTCTCACCACAATTCCCGTGCTACGTCGCTCGTTTTGGTATCATTGTGTTCGCAATTAAATTCCCTACAGATGTGTATGAATATAATGTACAAAAGCCTGGAGTGCCTCCCCGCAGAAAAGCCTAAAGTTACCCGTGAACAAGCACCAATTTGTACACTGCAACCTAATGTGTGTACTCGTTCAGTTTGATTACATCAATTTTCGTGTTACGTCTTTCATTTTGGTATCAAATTGTTCGCAATAAAAAGGTGCGTATTTTAAAACTAGTCCCATAATAATAGAGCAATAACTGGAATTTTAACAAATATTTTAGTTCTGGAAGCTCATCATCACAAAATTATTTATATCTTTCCAGTGTTCTGACATAAATTTGTGTGTTACATCTTTCATTTTGGTATCAAATTGTTCGCGACTTAAAGGTGCGCATTTTAAAACTAGTCCCAACATAATAGCACAAGAAATAGAATTTTAACAAATATTTTAAAATTTTGACCAAAAACCTATTTATAATCATATAAGTGTCCGGACATCAAGTTTCCTGTTACATCTTTCATTTTGGTATCAAATTGTGCGCATTCTAAAGGCGCTTATTTTGATACTATCCCGAGGTCGATTGGATAAAAAATTAATTTTATACAAATATTTTTGTAGTGGACGCAAGTCCGGTCCAAAGTTAGGACTCGGTAGAAAAATAATGGAGTGACCGATAGTGTTAACATAGTTATTCATTATTATTTGTGTTCTTATGTATTACTCAGAAATGATATAAAGGTACCAACTGCATATCCACTTTGTGGATACTTCTTACTACTATTGTTCTTCTTTGAGCGTCGGACAGGTGCTTGCATTTCTCTATTACTGCATAATTCTTCAGTTCTAGTTATTAGGAGCTGCTGTTCTTATCAACAAAATGTTCTTATTTTTCAAAAATTTGTCTAAAATCAATTTCTGAAAATATTTTGATGAAAGTTTCACGACATTGAAGCCAAAAAGTCGGAGATTTTTTAACATTTATAAGTTATTTTTACATAAGTCTAATATTTTTCGCTACCAGGCCCCCAATATGTGCGGAAATATGTGTGGTCTAAGGGTTAACCTAAAAAATTATAAATAGAACAAACACATTTAAGTTGTTAAATTAATTGCATTTGTGGAGCATATGTTATGTACTATAACAAATTTACCCACCTAAATGATATGGATATGCTGCCCGGCTCTCCACTTGGTCTAACAAGAAATGCTCCATCCTCGGGAATCCTTCCAAGGTAGTCCTCCGCATCCTCTCTGGAAAGGTTGGCATGATACCACTCCATGCGCTCGTGACTGTTGGGTTGTGGTACTGCTGCTCCCAGGATCACCGAGACATCCTGGTCACGAGTAGCATATATCTCAACTTCAAAATTTAAAATCATCTTGCAAGCTAAGGCTTCTTGCATATTGCCAGAGTCAGAGCCTATACAGTCCACCCAAAACCCACCTCCCACCAGGCTCTCATCACCTAGTAAGAGCCTGGCTCATGAAGCATCCAAGAAAGTGCCTCAGATAAATCTCTCTCATTATACTCAATGTACTATCTTGGCAACACAAATTTTATTTACAAATTTTTAAACTGGTCTTAATTACATAACTTCATTTATTGATATTTGTGTACAAATGTGAACAGCACATTTGTTAAAATAAGGAATGAAGATTACCATCACACAAACCATGCTTTCACTGGATACATTCTTTTTAATAGTGATAAAGAATATAGTTTAACAAAGTATATTCAAAAGATTCCAGGCCATAAAATGCAAAATGTGTTTCCGTAGGAGTCCCCTGTGACTCCCTGAAGCCATCTCGCTGAGATTGTTTCCAACTACTAAGTCACATCGGCTGCAAAGTTCTGTTTGGCCTACTGGGGACCAGAGCCAGAAACTGTCCCTCCCCCCCCTCCCCTCCTCACAGAGGCACACAGAGTGGGTTACCCCCAAACATACCAGCGATACAAAGATGCGAGAAACAACTACACAGCAGTGAGGAGAGAGGCAGAAAGAAATTTTGAAAAAGGGATTGCGGACAAATGTAAAACAGAACCAGGTCTATTCTATAAATTCATAAACAACAAATTGCAGGTAAAGGATAATATTCAGAGGTTGAAAATGGGAAATAGATTCACGGAAGATGAAAAGGAAATGTGTGAAACACTAAACGAAAAGTTCCAAAGTGTGTTTGTACAAAATGAAATCTTTAGGGAACCAGATACAATAAGAATTCCAGAGAACAACATAGAACACATAGAGGTGTCTAGAGACGAAGTGGAAAAAATGCTCAAGGAGCTCGGTAAGAACAAAGCAGCTGGCCCAGATGGCGTTTCACCATGGGTTCTGAGAGAATGTGCATCTGAGCTCAGCATTCCACTTCACCTGATCTTTCAGGCATCCCTGTGTACAGGAATCGTAGCAGACGGGTGGAAACAGGCTAACATAGTTCCAATCTACAAAAGTGGCAGCAGGGAAGACCCCCTCAATTATAGACCTGTATCATTGACAAGTGTAATAGTGAAAGTATTGGAAAAACTAATCAAAACTAAATGGGTAGAACACCTAGAGAGAAATGATATAATATCAGACAGACAGTATGGTTTTCGATCTGGAAGATCCTGTGTATCGAATTTACTCAGTTTCTATGATCGAGCCACAGAGATATTACAGGAAAGAGAGGGTTGGGTTGACTGCATCTATCTGGACCTAAAAAAGGCTTTCGACAGAGTTCCACATAAGAGGTTGTTCTGGAAACTGGAAAATATTGGAGGGGTGACAGGTAAGCTTCTATCATGGATGAAAAATTTTCTGACTGATAGAAAAATGAGGGCAGTAATCAGAGGCAATGTATCGGAATGGAGAAATGTCACAAGTGGAGTACCACAGGGTTCAGTTCTTGCACCAGTGATGTTTATTGTGTACATAAATGATCTACCAGTTGGTATACAGAATTATATGAACATGTTTGCTGATGATGCTAAGATAATAGGAAGGATAAGGAATTTAGATGACTGTCATGCCCTTCAAGAAGACCTGGACAAAATAAGTATATGGAGCACCACTTGGCAAATGGAATTTAATGTTAATAAATGTCATGTTATGGAATGTGGAATAGGAGAACATAGACCCCACACAACCTATATATTATGTGAGAAATCTTTAAAGAATTCTGATAAAGAAAGAGATCTAGGAGTGGTTCTAGATAGAAAACTATCACCTGAGGACCACATAAAGAATATTGTGCAAGGAGCCTATGCTATGCTTTCTAACTTCAGAATTGCATTTAAATACATGGATGGCGATATACTAAAGAAATTGTTCATGACTTTTGTTAGGCCAAAGCTAGAATATGCAGCTGTTGTGTGGTGCCCATATCTTAAGAAGCACATCAACAAACTGGAAAAGGTGCAAAGACATGCTACTAAGTGGCTCCCAGAACTGAAGGGCAAGAGCTACGAGGAGAGGTTAGAAGCATTAAATATGCCAAAACTAGAAGACAGAAGAAAAAGAGGTGATATGATCACTACATACAAAATAGTAACAGGAATTGATAAAATCGACAGGGAAGACTTCCTGAGACCTGGAATTTCAAGAACAAGAGGTCATAGATTTAAACTAGCTAAACACAGATGCCGAAGAAATATAAGAAAATTCACCTTCGCAAATAGAGTGGTAGACGGTTGGAACAAGTTAAGTGAGAAGGTGGTGGAGGCCAAGACCGTCAGTAGTTTCAAAGCGTTATATGACAAAGAGTGCTGGGAAGACGGGACACCACGAGCGTAGCTCTCATCCTGTAACTACACTTAGGTAATTACACTTCACCACCCCACCACACCAGGAAAGCATCCAGAAAGTCAGCAATCTAATACAGACCACTGCTGGGTTAAAAAAAGAACATAGCCTTGAAGCTGCCAAATGAACTCTCTCAAACAATGTAAACAAACAATCAAATATCTCAAAAAACCAGCGTTGAATGTAATGAAATGCCATTTTCTGGGCGAGTCCCGGAGGCTCCCCGGACCTATCCCAGGCTGATATGCTAATGTCAGACTTTGGCATCAGTCATGTGTATGGAGTTCTTAGGCCTACCGGGGACCACGGCCAGAACTGGGCCCCCTCAGAGGCAAGGGGAGCAATGGCCTATAGAAGCCCCCGTGTGGTTGGAAGCGTTCTATGTCTGCCATCAACCGGAACAAGCACCCATTAAGGTAAGCGCCCCAAAACAAACCCCTATTCTGGTTAAAATTGCTACCAAAAGCCGAACTAGTGGATAGAACTCCCCAACAGAAAACAAGCAAACTAGTGTGACGTCACATGCAGCCGCGCCGCTGTCTGTGCAGGTTCCCCCTCCCCGGGAGGGGGAAGGGGGAGCCCCAGACCCTCCACACCGGCTACCCACACCTCGGTTCTTGAGGCTGGATGTCTAAAATGCGAAAAAAACGCCGACCGGAGGGAGGGAGGGATGCCGGGGAGCCTCCGAGACTTGCCCAGAAAATGCCGTTTTATTACATTCAACGCTGGTTTTCTGGGGGGAGCCCCGTCGGCTCCCCGGAGCTAACTACTCACAGACGGAAAAAGAGGGACTTACCCGGGAGGCGGTCGTCGCTCACTCCTCAACTCGAAGCCAAGACAACTGGCTGCAACCGCCGACCCAAAGCAACACAGAACGAACAGAAGGGTAAGGATGAGGAGGTGCGGACTGAACCAGGATCAAAGCGACCCCCAACCCCAAGTCCGGGTCTCGAAAAGCAAAGCGGGGCAGCCCCGGGGCATCCGGGTGAGCAACCAACCGAGCGCGTTGCAACAGACGAAACCGAGACTGCAGCGCACGCGCCGCCTGTACCCAAAGAGAATCATCAGAGGATTGGGTAAATTGAGTCACAAGCAAGCAGCAACACTCACAGGACTCAGGGTCGAAAGTATCACCGACCCAACAGGCAGCGTGGCAGAGGCAAAAACGAGGGTCACCCTGAGACAAGGGGACCGAGCAACCCTCAAACTCGCACACAGCGAGTGGGGACTCTGGGGTCACATCCATCGGACCCACGCGCCCCCTAGGGGATTCACAGGGTCCTGAGCGTTTACTTTGAGAGGACTCGCGCTCAGGTAGTCCCAGGCAGGGCGCTGCTAACCGGCGCCCAAAACTACCAAGCGAACTTCTATAGCTGTACCCCAGGGACGTGTACACTCACGGGGACCTAGCAGAGGGCGCCATCGAGGAGAACCGTGGAAGGGCAAAAACTAATGGAATAATATGACAGAACCCCCCCACCAGGCAAAAACAAAAAGAAAAACAAAACCCCGCAAGAGGACAGCGAACCCCAAGGAACAGAGCCGGCCGCTATTTCGGGAATACAAGCTGTGCGGCACCCTGCGCCCCTACCAGTGCAAACTGCCTCTTACCTGCCGGTAACAAGGGAGAACAGAACACCCAAGAGCCCAACAGGCGACCGAAAAGGTAAAACGGACCAGCAGAGGCAGACCCCGAGGAGCCTGTGGAAGGTGGCCCCAAGCCCCAAGGGCAGTACTTACAGGGCACCTAGGGAAGGCAGCCCTAGGCGCAGGCAGCCCAAGTACTGAAGATAACTCCTGGCTCTCGCACCCACAAAAACAAACACCACACGCGAAGCACAGTGCTGTAGCGACACCGGAGCCAGAGCACACGACCTTCGCCTATAGCATCAGCCTCAAGAACTGAGGTGTGGGTAGCCGGCGTGGAGGGTCTGGGGCTCCCCCTTCCCCCTCCCGGGGAGGGGGGAGCTGCGCAGACAGCGGTGCGGCTGCATGTGACGTCACACTAGTTTGTTTGTTTTCTGTTGGGGAGTTCTATCCACTAGTTCGGTTTTTGGTAGCAATTTTCACCAGAATAGGGGTTTGTTTTGAGGCGCTTACCTTTCTGGGTGCTTGTTCCGGTCGATGGCAGACATAGAATGCTTCCAACCACACGGGGGCTTCTATAGGCCATTGCTCCCCTTGCCTCTCTGAGGGGGCCCGGTTCTGGCCGTGGTCCCCGGTAGGCCTAAGAACTCCATACACATGACTGATGCCAAAGTCTGACATTAGCATATCAGCCTGGGATAGCTCCGGGGAGCCGACGGGGCTCCCCCCAGAAATAGCATGAGCTCGTCAGAAGTGCTGGAGAGAGCTATGCAAGCTGTGTTCCCGATATCATAAATACACTATATCATTAAAACAAGGTGGAGACTGGCATTTAATGAGAATAGCAGACAAAGCTGGAAAAAAAAGTTGAGTCAGGGACACTAAACCAGAGCAGACAAAATCAAAACAAAGATGGCAGAGTGAACAGAATCGTCTGTAGAAACAAGGAACACAAATTTCAAAAGTTTCACTATGAAAAACATGAAAAATTGCACAACATTTGTGCATTTGAAGAGAAGTGTGGGAGGTAGCATTCCTAGACTACATGCCAGAGAGCATGAGGACATTGTGTGAAACCCTAGTCAGGCCTCAGTATAAGACTCGGGAACCCTAAACGATTCAGCTGAATCCCAGGATGCCATATTTTTACCATGTTGTGGTGTAGTGATCTAAGGCATTTACCTGGGAATACCCAGATCATAGGTTTGAATCCTCATCATGGCTCCTACTGATTTTCTCATTGATTCATCACGTTAGTACTCTACTAGCTAGCCAAACCATAAAAATTAGGTAATGATATGCCAAAAGAAACTTCATGGGCAACTCATTTAGGATGCTACTGAAGGATTAAAAATATGTAGAGGAAGTGAAAGAAAGAGTGAAAGAAACAATCAAAGATGTTAGGAAGCCAAAAACAGAAATGAGGAGCAAGAAGCAGAGATTATGCAAGTAATTAGGAAAGAATTGCCTGGTGTGGAGTGTGGGTGGTTATTTCATCTACAAACAGCTACTCCTTTTCTGTCAAAGAATGAGTCAGTTGGCGTTTGGCGGGGTCCTTGGTTGGGTTCAGCTGGGGGTGCATTGTGTTCAGTGGATGCTTTGTGGGTTGATCCTCTCATCTTGGTATCCCCTGTTCCAAGGCTCTTCTTTCTCTGGTCATCCACAGTGTTATTTAGTCCAGCCAGCATGCGGTCTACCCTCGCACCCATTACGATCGGAGATTTTGTGCTCTCTCGGCTGTGTTCGCTAACATGTCCTGAGCTGATATTCGGGAGTGTGGTTTTGGGGCTCTGATAGGGCTCTGGTGACCCACTATCTTCTCAATGTGCCCTTGCCCCAGTGCTCTTGTGTGACTTTGGGTCATGTCTCTTGGACAGGAGCCTCATTTTCATATTTTTTTTTTTTTTACTCCATTCCTGCAGTGCTCCCTCCTTCCCTTTCTGCTCTTTTGTTTTCCTTATCGGTGGGTAGTTAGCATCTGGGAGCCACAAGAAGCTCTTCCCAGAAAATCAGAGTTAAATTGTAATGAAACTACAATTTCTGGGCGAGCCCCGGTGGCTCCCTGACACCCGTCCATCCAAGTCGTCAGGGAGTTTGGTTACATCTAACATAGAACTGAGGGTGGAGTAGCCAACTGATCATAGGCTGCCTTCCTTTTCCCTCCAAATGGGTGAGGAAGGTTGGGCAGATGAGCTGTCACTAGTTAGGAGAGATTTTGATCATTTATTTGCATGGGGGAGTTCTTTCAGTGGTTCTCGAAGGCACGGTTTCAATTAAAGCCAGCAATGGTTTGTCTGTCTTGCCGACTTTTTGGGTGCCTTTCTAGTGGTAGCATAAATAAATATATATAGATGTCACCGCTTCCTGCTCATCTGTTGAAGTGAGACAGGTTCTGGCTCTGGTCTTCAGAAGGCGATAGAACTCTGTGGCAGATGGGACCTACCTACCTTGAGGTGCTTCCGGGGCTTAGTGTCCCCGCGGCCCGGTCGTCGACCAGGCCCTAGTGGATAGTAAGTACACTATCAGTGACAGTTTCAGTAAGCCACCAGGGCTCACCCACAAACTGGCATTTCATTACATTCAATGCTGGTTCTTTGAACACAATGTCTGTTGCTGGCTGAATGTTTTTGCAAATTTACAAAATTATGAATAATCTAATAGGAATTGTATTACCATTCTACAGACTGAGTAGACTAAATATATCTCACCTGTGCACGAATGGGGTAGGTACGATAGTGTTCCACAAGTGCGTGAAGACTCTCAAAAGCATCATTATCCCTGAGCCAATATCTCGTCGTGTCTCCTTCCTGCCGAGTGCGTATGCGACAGTGACTAGCTTTTCCCTGGTGCCTGGAGTGTAATAGCAACCACAGATTAACAAACAATATCAAGATGGTATTGCACTTGCAACATCAAATAAACAATTAAAATAGATCAAACAACAAAGCAGTTTGTCTATGTTGGTTTCTCTTTCTCCTTGAACTTTTCCTTCTTTATGCCCACTCACTGGTGCCACCAGGTGCCTCTATTCTGCTCCCCCACCCATGCCTACCAACCAGTTCTACCATGTGTGTGTATGTGTACCCACCCATCAGTGCTACCAGGTGCCTCTATTCTGCTCCCCACCTGTGCCTACCAACCAGTTCTACCATGTGTGTGTATGTGTACCCACCCATCAGTGCCACCAGGTGCCTCTATTCTGCTCCCCCACCCATGCCTACCAACCAGTTCTACCATGTGTGTGTATGTGTACCCACCCATCAGTGCTACCAGGTGCCTCTATTCTGCTCCCCACCTGTGCCTACCAACCAGTTCTACCATGTGTGTGTATGTGTACCCACCCATCAGTGCCACCAGGTGCCTCTATTCTGCTCCCCACCTGTGCCTACCAACCAGTTCTACCATGTGTGTGTATGTGTACCCACCCATCAGTGCTACCAGGTGCCTCTATTCTGCTCCCCACCTGTGCCTACCAACCAGTTCTACCATGTGTGTGTATGTGTACCCACCCATCAGTGCCACCAGGTGCCTCTATTCTGCTCTCCACCCATGCCTACCAACCAGTTCTACCATGTGTGTGTATGTGTACCCACCCATCAGTGCCACCAGGTGCCTCTATTCTGCTCCCCATGTGCCTACCAACCAGTTCTACCATGTGTGTGTATGTGTACCCACCCATCAGTGCCACCAGGTGCCTCTATTCTGCTCTCCACCCATGCCTACCAACCAGTTCTACCATGTGTGTGTATGTGTACCCACCCATCAGTGCCACCAGGTGCCTCTATTCTGCTCCCCCACCCGTGCCTACCAACCAGTTCTACCATGTGTGTGTATGTGTACCCACCCATCAGTGCCACCAGGTGCCTCTATTCTGCTCCCCACCTGTGCCTACCAACCAGTTCTACCATATGTGTGTATGTGTACCCACCCATCAGTGCTACCAGGTGCCTCTATTCTGCTCCCCACCCATGCCTACCAACCAGTCCTACCATGTGTGTGTGTGTGTACCCACCCATCAGTGCCACCAGGTGCCTCTATTCTGCTCCCCACCCATGCCTACCAACCAGTCCTACCATGTGTGTGTGTGTGTACCCACCCATCAGTGCCACCAGGTGCCTCTATTCTGCTCCTCCACCTGTGCCTACCAACCAGTTCTACCATGTGTGTGTGTGTGTACCCACCCATCAGTGCCACCAGGTGCCTCTATCCTGCTCCTCCACCTGTGCCTACCAACCAGTTCTACCATGTGTGTGTATGTGTACCCACCCATCAGTGCCACCAGGTGCCTCTATGCTCAGCATCCTGTGCCTTTGTGCCTACTTATCACTGACTAGCAAAATCTAGCTTTTTATGCCCCGCTTCCTTGCCGTTTACACCCGACATTAATTTTTACCCCTCTCAATATAACCGTTTTTATCATATTTATTTTTAAAGTTGTAGATGGAATTAGCTTCAACAACCACTTCCTTCAGTGCATTTCACTTTCCTACATCCATAAAGGGCACAAAAACTTCCATACATCTCTCTGACTATTGTATATCCAACTTCCACCAATGTCTCCTCCTCCTACCTCCTTTTAATTTAAATATGTTTCCTTTATCCATTCTATCTATTCCCATCAAGATTTTATATGTAGTCATCATATGTCCTGTTTCCTCTCTTCTTTAAGGTTGTGAGGGCGAGTTCTCTTAACCAGTCTTCATAGCCGAGGCCTCTCAATTCTGGTACTAATCTACTTGCAAACCTCTGAACATTCTCAAGTTTCTATTTATGCTTCACAGGGTGAGTTCCATGCTGGAGCTGTGTATTCAAATAATGGTCTCACATAGGCAGTGTACATGGACTTGAAAGTGTTCTTGTTTACATTCTTAAATGATTTTCTATTGATTGCTGACTTCCTATATGCTACTACTTCCTATATCGGGAGCCGGTCGGTCGAGCGGACAGCACGCGGGACTTGTGATCCTGTGGTCCTGGGTTCGATCCCAGGCGCCGGCGAGAAACAATGGGCAGAGTTTCTTTCACCCTATGCCCCTGTTACCTAGCAGTAAAATAGGTAACTGGGTGTTAGTCAGCTGTCACGGGCTGCTTCCTGGGGGTGGAGGCCTGGTCGAGGACCGGGCCGCGGGGACACTAAAAAGCCCCGAAATCATCTCAAGATAACCTCAAGATAAGAGATGTAGCATATGGGAAGTTCACATGAGCCTCTGGTATTAGTGTTGGAGTTATGTCTACTCCCGGGTCTTTTTCTCTTATTGTTTCTTGTAATTGCCTTTCCCTACTGTATAGTTATATACAGGTCTTCCGTCTCCCTTATCCATTTTCATTACTTTTTACTTACTTGTCTCGAATTAAAGCAGCCATTTATCTGCCCACTCCAAAAGTTTGTTCAGGTCTCCTTGTAGCACCCTACAGTACTCTTCAGTTCTTACACTCCTTATTAACTTTGCATCATCTACAAACATCGCCATGTTTGAGCTCACTCCCCCTCTTAAGTCATTTACATAAATTGAAAAGAGCAATGGTACTAGGAAAGAGCCCTGGAACCCCTTTCCACTCCATTCCAGCTTGACATATCATCTCTGACTATGACCCTTTGTTTCCTATCTGACAAATACTCCCACACCCAGTTCAGTGCCTTTCCTGCAATCCCACTTGTTTCTCTACCTTGAGTATTAGTCTTTTGTGAGGAACTTTTGCTCAAAAGCTTTTTGGCAATCTAGGAAGATGCAGTCTACCAATCCTTCCTTTTGTGTCTCATTTTGGTGACCATGTCATAGAATTCAGTCAAAACTGTTAAGCATGATTTTCTCTCTCTGAAGTCATGTTGTGCCTCTATTATCAAATTTACTATCTTCAAATGTTCTACAATGCAGGCGATGAGTCACAATAACGTGGCTAAAGTATGCTGACCAGACCACACACTAGAAGGTGAAGGAACGACGACGTTTAGGTCCGTCCTAGACCTTTCTCAAGTCGATTGTATGTATATATATTGTTGCAACCACTACCACCACAACAACTTCATGTTCTACAATCCTTTTCCTGATGACTTTTTCTAGAATCTTGCTTGGAATGCATGATAATGACACTGTTTTATAGTTTAGTGCTTCATATTTGTCCCTTTCCTTATTTATTGAAACCACATTTATCTTTTTTGAGATTTCCAGTAGCTCTCAAGTCTATAGTGTAATGATAAACATTATAGTTAATGGGCAACAAAAAATTCCTCCCTTCAATACTCAATTATGCATGGTGATACCTGGTTTAGTCTTACTGCTTTTGTTATATCCAATTCCTTCTGGTAACCTTTAACATCTACATTAACTTCAACTGTCTAATGCTGTTACTGGTCTTCGGTTGTCAGCCCTACTTGGACACCATCCTGGTTCTGGTCTGAAGACCTCTGGGAACCACTTGTTGAATTCCTCACACACTTCTATCATTTTCCAAGTGTGTTTCTCCCTGTCCCTGCAGTCATCACATGGTCTAGGATCACTATTTCTCCACATATGTCTGTACAACAGCTTAGGTTGGCTTTTTGCTTATGCCACAATGACATTCTCAAACTGCTGCTCTGCTGCCCTCCTGGTTCTTGTGTGCCCATTCCTGTCCCTCTTTATTGCCTCCCTATTTGCCTCTGCCCCTTTACTTTTTCCATGCCTGTCATACCTTCTCCTTTTCCTCCTTATACAGTATACTGCTGAACATTAGCTTTGTCGTTCTCATTTCATCCACTTCCGTCCTGAGAGACATGAACTGTTTTTTTGTTTTTTTTTACATTTTTGTGTTATGAGTTCCATCATCTCATTTGCCGACTTTCCTTCCATTTCAGTCTCCCACTGAACCTCACGATAATAGTTCCTCACCCTCCTGCTGTCCCCTCTTCTGCATTCTCTCTTGCTTCTTGCCCTTCTTCCAAGTTCCACTTTCAGTTCTACAATGTAATCAAACACAATATTGCAGTGGTCACTGGCTCATAGTGGTACCTCAAATTTTAAGTTCTCTACATCTTTTTTATTTTGGGTAAACACCAGGTCCAGGGATGCTTGTAGACCACATCCTCTTTCTCTTGTTGGCTCTTAGATATGCTGCCACCCATCAGTGCCAACAGGTGCCTCTATGTCCGCCCACCAGATGCCTGTATGCCCACCCAGCAGTGCCACCAGGTTCCAATGCCTACCCTTCAGTGCCAATATTAACCATGACATGCTGACACTCTTTGGGAACATCCTGCGACTTACCAGAAAGACAGCGTATGATCTCCTACAAAATTCTCAGAGTGGCGCACCAGGAAAGTCCCATCTCCAAGGTGGCTGTGCTGCTGGAGGAGCTCTTCAGCCTTTGTTCTGCCTCCCACCATCTTTCCATGGTACCAAGGCTCTTGCAGATGTTGCTCATCATCACTTACCTGCCAACAATCTTGGGTTTAGTATTGAACAAACATTATATCAAATTTCAGTCATACAATTTAACAAGGACTATTGAAATTAATACTAATTTCCTTGGCAGCTTATAAAAACATTGTACCATGTAATGACAATAGCAAACATTTGTTTTCAAGTCATTAGCTTCTTACCAAGTATAAAGATCAAGCTAAATTTCTGGACGGGCTGCAGTGGCTCCCTGAAGCTAGCTGCATTGAGATGGCTCCACACACCTATGAGTCGCATCAGCCCCTGATGTTCATAATAACCTTCCTCCTTCATTACTCATTGTGTATTTAAATACCTCAGTCTTGGGTTAAGGCTTTGTAACCAGTAATCATCATGCTTCCCAGGGTAACTGGGGTGGGTCCCCTCCTTTGGGTGCATAGTGTGGTTTGTGGCAGTGTGGCAGGCTGTGCAGCAGATTTGTCACCCTTTTAGGCTCCATCCTCCTGGATGCATTTTGACTTCCTCCCCATCCTACAAGGCTCCATTCCCTGATCACGAGGATCTTGTGGTGGATGCCTTTCAGCTGTTTAGGTTAAGGTGAGGATTCCTTTCTCACTTCCCTTCAATTCAGCTGTTGCTGCAAGTTTTTCCATATTGGAGACTTTCACAGGCAGGGGGGGACCCTTATGGCTCCCTAGTGGGCTGCTCAGCCTTCACTTCCAGCCCTTCTGGCTCAGTGTCTTGAGCCTGCCTGATACCTGCTTGATGGGGTTCTGAGAGTTCTTCTACTCCCCAGCTTGGCTTGAGAGCATGGTCCAACAGGTTGTTGCTTGGAGTGGCCCGCAGGCCCACATATCCACAAGAGCCCGGTTGGTCTGGCACTCCTTGAAGAAAACTATCTCGTTTTCTCTTGAAGATGTCCATAGTTGTTGCCGCAATATTTCTTGGGCAATATAGCCCAAGTATACTTTTCATGGCTCCACCTCTTTCAGCAGATCTGTCCCCCCCCCCCCTTTTCAAGGTTTTCTCCACTCCCTGCTCGTGGAGCCTATTACTGTGGTCTATTTCCATTTGTATGGCCAGATGTAGATGGCCGAGCTCAGCAGTGTTATTGTATCTAGCCAGCCTGTGGTCTATCTTCGGGCCCATGTTTTTCGTAAGTTTATGACTGGCCACTGTATTTTCTCTTTTTCTTAAGTGCCTCACAGCTGGGTGGACAGCGATTTGGATTCGTAGTTCTGAGGTTCCGGGTTCGATCCCCGGTGGAGGCGGAGACAAATGGGCAAAATGTTTCTTTCACCCTGATGCTCCTGTTACCTAACAGTAAATAAGTACCTGGGAGTTAGACAGCTGCTACGGGCTGCTTCCTGGGGTTGGGGTGTGTAACAAAAAGGAGGCCTGGTCGAGGACCAGGCCGCGTGAACACTAAGCTCCGAAATCATCTCAAGATAACCTCAAGATAGCCAGTATTTGGGATCTGTGAGTTTTGGAGGTCTCCTGGGATGCTGGCAGATCATTGCTTGGTCAGTGTTTTCGGCTCCCTTCGAGCTTTCGTTGCTCTGGTTAAGGTCTCCCACCTGGTTTCTTCCCTTTGGGGGTCTTTGTTTGTTGCACTCCTTCCCTGGTGTGCCCCATTTCTCTCTTCTTTGTGGTTAGATACAAGAAGCCACCATTTGGCCCTCCAAAACCCAGTGCTCAATGTAATGAAATGCCTCTTTCTGGTGGAGTCTTCAATGACTCCCTGGACTCTCCCCTTCGACCAGGTGGGTCAATTGGTTTTTCTAGGACTATGGGCTAATTGTTGACACTGTGAGCTGGCAATTATTTTAGATCATTTACAGAGACTTTCACTGCATTGTTTGATTACTTCCTGTAAACCTTGCCTGTTCACCAGTTGTCTGTTTTCTTTACTTCCTTTGTTTATTTTCTCGAGTGAGGGTGATTATGCTTGCTCTCTGCACTTCTGTGAGGGAAAAGGGGGGAGGGGCCCAAGTTTTGGCTTCTGGTCTCCAGGAAGATAATGAGGACTCATAACGGCTGATGTACCTTATAGGTGTTAAACAGTGCAGCTAGCTACAGGGAGCCACTCAAAGGGCTCCACAGAAAGAGGCATTCCACTACATTTACCTTGGGTTAATTTACTTCCTAAGGAACATACACAAAATTGGCTTTCTACAATCAATAGTGTGACAGAGAAAAAGTAGCTGGTAATATTTTGATAGGAACATGAATAACTAATGAAACTAATTTATTACCTAACTTTATTTGAAAAATAAGCCTAAATTAGAGGATGAATCTTGGGAAAGGCAGAAGTAACAACATGTGAGTGCACATCTTGCAATGGAGATGATCAATGGAAATTTACTCAACATTACTTTAAATAATAACAAAATACCAGCTTTGACTGTAATGAAACGCCATTTTCTGGGTGAGACCCCGGAGGCTCCCCGGAGCTATCCAGGCTGATAAAGATATATTAGCTTTCTGGCATCAGTCAATGTGCACGGAGTTCTTGCCTACTGGGAATCAAGAGCCAGAACCTGGGCCCCCTCAGAGAGGCATGAGGAGCCATGAGCAATGGCCTATAGAAACCCCTGTGTGGTTGGAAGCATTCTATGTCTGCCACTGATCGGGTCTGGCACCCAGAAAGGTAGACGCCCCAAAACAAACCCCTATTCTGGTAAAAATATTGCTACCAAAAGCCAAACGAGTGGACAGAACTCCCCAAACAAAAATTAGCAAACAAGCATGACGTCATCACATTGCCGCATCGCTGTCTATACAATCCACCACTCCCCGGGAGGGGGAAGGGAGAACCCCTGACCCTTGTCCTGGTGATCCACCCTTCAGTTCTTAGGCTGGATGTCAAAATACACAAAAACACTGCCGACCGGAGGGAGGGAGGGAGGGTGCCGGGAAGCCTCCAGGGTCTCACCCAGAATATGTCATTTTATTACATTCAATACTGGTTTTCTGGGGAAAGCCCGTTGGCTCCCCAGAGCTAACTCACCAAAGATAAGGAAAAAGAGGGAAGGACCCGAGAGGCAGATGTCACACACCCTAAAACAAACACACAGGCAACAAGACAACAAAAATGGCAAAACCGAAGGACCCTGGGGACGAGCCGGGAGACTCGAACCCTGAAACAGGAAGGAAGAAAGGGAACCCGGGCCCCAAAGTGCATCCACGGCCAGAGAGGCCAAGATGCGAAGATAACAGTGGAGAGGCCTGGGCGACGACCGGGCCGCGGGGACACTAAGCCCCAGAAGCACCTCAAGGTAGGAGCCACAACTGAACACAACACAAAAGGCACCCTTGGCCTGACCAACCAAGCATCACCAACCCAAGGACCCCTCTGGAAAGCAGCAAACTCACTGATCGCCAGAAAAGTAGGAGACAACGTCAACCAAAGAAACCTACTGCCAGGACCAAAAGAGCTGAAACCCTTGCACCGGGGAAGAGCATGAAGCTCCCCAACCCGACCCCCCAGAGGCCAAAGCCAACAAGGAAAAAACGCCTTAGAAAAACAAACCTGAACCGAAGGGGCCACCACAAACCAAGGAGATGAGAGAAAAGAGAGCACCCAGCCCAAAGACCAGGACAGCTCAGGCGGCACATGAGCAGGTCGGAGTTGAAACAATGCATGAGACAGTGTGCAGAATGGAGCAGAAGTAAAATCAATACTGAAAGCAAGCTGGAGCGACTCCGCCAGTGCTGCACGATACGAGGCGACAGTATGCGGCATAAGATGACCGTCCTGGAACAACCACAAAAAGGACAAAACAACCCTATCAGGGACGACAGTACACCTATGCTGTGATAGGAAAAACCTGAGGGACCACCAGGAAACCTCATACTGCTGCCGAGAAGAAGCACGCAGGTGGGAGACCAACAACGAAGCAACCTGCGCCCCATACAACTTGTGATAGACGCGAGTCAGAAACACTAGACATTAAGACTCGAAGAGGAAAAGAATGAACCAGCGGGCTGGACCGATCTGCTGAAAGAGGTGGCGTCGTGGGATGACCCTTGGGCTTGGACATCGAGCAAGCAGGGCCTGAAACCAAGGCTGGGCTGGCCACCAAGGAGCCAGGGCAACTCTTCCCTGGTAAGGCTCCAAACGAGCCAGGACCTGGAACAACAGCGGGACTGCGGGAAAAGAGGTACAGGTAACTCCACCTCACCCAGTCCTGCTGAAGGCATCGACCCCGGCAGCCTCACAGTTGGGGAGGGGTGCCACGTATACCAGGAGACACCTCGACCTCGTCGACGTGAAGAGGTCCACCTCTGAAGTCTCGAATGTCCGGCAGAGCCAATGGAATGAGTTGGTGTTGACTGTCCACTCCATGGAAAGGGGAATGAAGCGGGACATGCCGTGCAGCAGGACATAGGAATCCCCCCGAACGTGACCCACCAGGAAAGCCAAACCACAAGAACTCTGCTTTGGGTGACTCGTCTGCCATCAGCCCCAAAGAGCCAAGGACCGCATTGAAACGCTGCGGTTCAGGCAATAAACTACCGGGGAACAATCCGTATGGAGCTGGATCGTCGAAGAAGAGAGGCGGAATAGACATCCTTGAAGGAACCAGAACAGCTGACGAAGCGACACCCGATCCGGCGGATAGACCATCATGGCAAAGTTCAGGCTTCCGCACAATCCCTCGAGCAACCACCGTATGACCAGGGAGCCCCTCAGGAACAGACGAAGGCGGAAACACATATGAAGCAGAGCCACTGGAGGAAGAGACAAAGAAGCGGTCCGAGCGTCCCACACAAAACCCAGCCAAGACAGAACCTGAGAGGGAACCAGATGGGACTTCTGGGAGTTCACCAAGAACCCGAACCCGGAGAGCTGGGAAAGAATCAGATTCTTGGTGAGCAGACACACAGACTGACTGGGAGCCCAGACCAGCCAGTCGTCGAGGTAGGCCAGTACCTGGAGACCTAAGAGAAGCAGATGGACCACCATGACTCGGGTAAGACTCGTGAACACGCAAGATGCCAGGTTCAAACCCAATTGGAGACGATGGAAGTG